GGAAACCAATCTCTTGTCACTAACATTACTCATCTACTATTCATTCGTAAAATAAAATCCAATATAACAATGTTATTGATGAGAACCCTTGAGAACCAACGTCCATTGCAGAAATGAATCTAAATGCACAACAACGGCACCCACAGGTTATCATACTCTCTGGGCTGCTGGCACAGCATGGTAAACAGGACTTGTAATGAAGATGGACACCCAACTACACATTTTACTATTTCAAAAGACTACGTTCATCTTTTAAAATGCAGAGTATTCAAAGTCCCTTTGGTAGAGAGTTAAATACTGCTGAGTGCTAATGTATGTTTCATAAAGGACTCTTGATCCTTGTTTCTTCATGTCAAAAATTGTATCCAATTTATATTTTGTGCCATATTGGTGGATAAACTTTACAAATATGACTCAAGCTCCAAGAGTCTGCGTATAGCAGCGTGCTCTGATGTGTTTGGACTTGATTCAGTTAAATGCCAGCATTGCTGCATTTATTATGTCTTGAAAGATGTCTGTGTAGGTGCTCTGTCATCTAGGTCATGGTCATTTGAAGTTTGTTTCAAAAGGTCTTGAAGACGTTTCACCTCTCCTCCAAAAGGCTTCTTCAGTTCTACATGGACTCTAGAGAGAAGTTAGTATAATCCTCTGTGGATCTTTAGTATGCGAGTTTTCTCAACCAGTCAGTTTAGAGCTGAAGAAGCTTTTCTGAGCCATATATTATATATTTGACCCTTTGGATCAAGCTTTGAATTTATTGAAAGTTGATAAATTAAGGTTTCTTGTAAATTGTTTTATCTTGATATTAAAACATAATGCACCAATTATCATGGCCAAACAAAAGGTTATTCTTTCAATGCATTTTGCACATTTTATCGTTTCCTACTTGATAATGCTCCTTGCTGATAAATAATGCTACACTCTGTTCAAGAGGTCCAGATTTAAGCTCAGGAAAGGCTCTAAAAAAATTGTGTAATAATAAATAAAGTAGCATCTATACCTGCTAATGCAGCCTCTTCGTACAAAGTGAAAAACAAATGTAATAACCCTTCATTTGTAAAGCGCTTTTCAACACAGGTAACAAAGTGTTTCACAGTGTGCACTGTGTCTGTGTATTATCACATAAGTGGTACTGGATTGCATGCACTTCTAGGTAATAAATGTATTCTGCCATGAGGGAAAAAGTCTGGGTGTGAAGATTATTTATAACCACGAGGATAAGATGATGAAATCAAGATGATAAAAATGCAAATTGTACTTAGTAGCTTCTCAAATTACGGCTTGCTTGAAAACAGTGTGACATCTTCCTGTCATTACTTTCACACATTCACTTCAACAGTCCTTTATTTCTGATTCTTCTAGTAGCTCCTCGCATACAATAAAACACTCTGGGAAGGAATCACAGGCTAATGCTAAGTTGGAATGAGAAGTGTTAACACTCAAGTAGTGTGATAATACAATCTTACACTGTTGACACTTAAAGAGAGAAACGGTTTCTGATGGGGCGAGAGTTAGTAGAATTAAAGACAGGGACGCTAAAAACTATCCCAACACAATTTTCTGAGGAATGGCACCTTTTAAATGTTGAAGTCAAACTTTTCACATTTTCATTACTTAAATCAGCAGATGGTACTTGATAAGCCAGTCTCTCCCCGGATGTGATTAAGCATTTTTGATGTGTTTTTAAAGGTATTGAGGCAATCCACTGCGGTGACAAGTATCAGTGGGAGTGAAGAATCACAGTTTGAGTCTGACACTGCAGGACTGATGGCTTTGTCTGGAAGCTCAACACAGGAAATCAACTTCAGCTGTTATTGCCCGAGGATATCACACTGAAGTGAGGACAGCGTCATGGATCCATGTTCTGTCTTTAGTGCTGAGTAACAGCTTCTCTGAAACTTCTCTGTCGTCAAAAGCGCAGCATTCTTTTGCGTATAAAAATCTTGACATAAAGGATTTTTTCCAGTGTGGAGAAGTATGACAAACAGTGATTATCAGTGGAGAACACAAGCCTAAGAAAGTTCTGATTAACTCTCAGAAAAAAGCTTTGATATAATCACTTGACCAAAACAGGAGGCAAATGTCACCCACTGCATGCGGTTAGCTTTTATCTTTGCTGACTGCCCTGAGGAACATGCCTGTTTCTCCACGCTCTGGAGTACAAAGACAACACGCTGAGCTGCAACAAGGGCAGGGTGTTGAGCACCGAACCCCTCTGATAAGACGACAACAAAGCAGGGAACCAGAGATCAGCTGATTGGAGGTAACACAATGAGGGGATTCTTCAAAGGGCTCATATTCGATGATAACTTCAAACAATTATTCACTGGCCTCTAGAACAAAAAGTAGAAGATATATTGCAAACCCCTCACAATAAATAGTTTGACTCTGAAATATGTTCAAAACAAGTACAAACCCCGCAGCCGGATGTCAGCTGTAATACAGATCTCACTATCAGCCGCTTCACTTCTAAGAGTTCAAAGTGACAGACAACAAATATTAAAGTGCGAAAATATTAATCACAACCACCTTAAAAGCAAACAGAAAGGCCTTAACAGATGAGCTGTTCGGGAAAAAAAGAGAATGGACATGGTTGACAATATTACAACTAACAAATGTAAATATTAACATTTAATAAATAGCTTATAGTTGTGGGCCAATAGATCTATTTACTTTACTTTATTTTTATTCACTGAACATTTCTACACTTCCACCTTTGGGTTGCCACAGAGAAGCTGGAGTTGTTGCCCAAATACATGAGTAAACTCTGACATCGGCTTACAATGGATAACGTTGTTTTATAAGGAGCTAACTAGATTGAAAATGTAGCAAGAGAAAGCTAAAGAATGCACACTCAACACAAAAACATATATAGAATTAGGTTAGAATTAAACTTTTAAAAGGTGTGTTTTGCTACGCTCACATGTACAGTAAACACTTGTCCAGCGTTTTAAAGGTTTTAAAAAGAGAGCTTGGAATAGGTTTGTTGCGTTTAAGTACGCAGTAAATTGAGACTTCTGGACAGTGACAGCAACATTACTCTCTGTTGGGTTGCATCAGTCATGGAGTGTCCTTCACTGATTTATTACAGCCCTATAATACGACCCTTTTATGGAAGAAAACAAACAAAATCAACCTTGCCTTGCAGTAGTTCATTCAACATGGACAACAAATGTCAGATGCTGCTGACCTTGTCGCCCATGCTAAGTGTCGGTGTAATGTTTAATAATACATTTACTGAGCATCTTTGTTTGAAGTCAGAGAACCTGCCTGTTTTGTGTGCATTTTAATTATGTTTTGTGCATTTCAGTACGGATAACGACTGAGTCGCTGTAATACTTCCTTGAAACTTGTGCCAAACCAAGATAGAAAGAAACCGTCTGTAAAAGATGGAAATCTATTTTGCAAGAGAACTAACTAAGTGTATGGATCCTTTACAATTATGTATTGTATTCTAAAAAATGATGAGGGAGAAAATGCGAGTAGGGGGGGATATACGTTACTTGGTACTTATCACGGTCATCAAAGGGAAAAGCAGAAACAGTGAGGGGAAGTGAGGACAGAGATTTGAAGTCGGTCTCTGCCTGACACCCACGCTATAACAACACCCACAACACTGGAGTATAAAAATAGCTAAGCTTCAATTTTCTGTTCGTGCAGGTACAGAGAAGCTGTGCTTATCCTGGCAGGAAGTACATGTACACTTTTGGGGCTGTAGCATGCTAATTTTAGATCTAAACCCACCCAAATACAAAAGGTGCATTATTTGCTATTCAGCTGAATCAAATCTTTTTAATTGAAGACAATGGCCTCATTTCATATGCATAATGCATCCTATTATTACTATATTTCAGACTGCTTATTCTGGCCTCAATTTGTATTGGTGGATGAGGGACCCTCCCTGACCCAGTTACTAAGCTGTCATCCTGCAGAGCGAACAAAGAGGAGCAGCTGTCTATCAATAGCCTGAGTGTGTTTTCAGGGCTGACACAAATAAATCGGAGGACTAGCAGCACGTGTTCAAAACCAGCAGGGAAGCCACTAACAAGCACCTGGTTCCGAAAGTGACTGTTGATTACATCGATCACATAGAGGTCACTTTAAATGTCGAGTCACCAGTGAAATACAGCGGCACAATTACTTAAAGTGCAAAAAAACGCCCAGATGCTTAATCAATGTGTTGTTCTGCAGGAAATACCTGCAACTAAAGCAGATTTTCATGAAATATTCATCAGTTGATGCAGCTTAAGAATAGTGTATGAAGGCCCAACAGGTTTATTCCTCAAAATATTGAGACCAACCATGAACTTTAATCATTTCTGCTACTTTACTTTTCTTCATACACTGAATGTATCCGTGTTGTGGACAAAAGAAGACACTTGAGAATGTCATCATGAGCTTTTAGGAGATTTTGATCAGCACTTTTTAACCATTGTCTTATATCTTATATCTATAGACCGAACACCTGATCAACTATCCAAAAAATATAGACAATGATATGAAACAAAATATGTAGCAATTTCTCATGTCTAGGCAACTGGAGCAAAACAATGTGTGACATTTTAGGCTTGAGGAAAAAAAAAAAATCAATTGATTGTTCACTTTCTCATTATCATAAAAGTTTGTAATAATGTCCTGACACCAAATCAATCAAATGCAGCAGATTCAAAGTTTCTTCCAGATGATCACATTGGGAGTGTATGATATTACACTGGGCATCTTTCAGCCATGAAAATAATAATGATTAGCAGCCTTAGCAGAGGTCCACGGTGCTTATTGCTCTCTTACTGCCTTCTTAGTGATGCTTTCTGGGGTCTGAGAGTCTATAAGAAGCGAGCATCAAACACACAGCTCTGGAGGACAAAAGACGTGCAGATGAAACCCTCCAAACAATGAAACACATCTTTGTTGTGGAGATTATCTGATCGTGTGACGTGGGGACACGGGCAAGAAATCCTGCAAGTAAAAGGTCACACATCACAACAGTAGTTTTCATTTACCTGCTGATTCACCAGTGTTGATCCAGTCTGGGTTTGCAATGCTGGCTATTGCAAAGATATCCGCCGCCAGAAACAGACACCCTGAAATGATGGTTAGTTTATCCATATTGCCAACTGGAGACGGAGGGGAGGAATGACGCGGAGAAAAGGTGGCTGTCCAAATGCGACTCCCCCCCGGGTGTTGTGAGACACAACCAGGTGGGCTGTTATCAGTTTAACCTCGCCCCCTTCAGCAGGATCCCGCTGTTGTGGTTCTGCTGTTCATGTTGCAGCAACGTTAGCTTCTCCTTCGCCGTCAAGCAAGCGAGAGCCTCCAGCTACAAAAAGCTCAAAAACGACACACAAAAGCATCACATCTCAAAAGCCCGTTGTCGTCCAGCACCGTAAACAACAGCTCACTCGGCGCCGGGGCCCTCGTGTTGTCTCCTTGATCCGTTTAGCAGCAGCAGCAGCAGCAGCCGCAGCAGCATCGGGTACAGCTGCGGCTAGCGGGTAGCTAGCTAGCTAGTTCCCAGATTCGGGCTCGGTGTTCCGAGCTGCGGCCCAAAGGCTGCTCGACGGACGAGACCGCGACTCCGCTAGCATTTCAGACACAGAGTCACACAGAAGACGGTAGAGAGAGAGAGAGAGGGGCAAACCAAGCTCCTAACACAGAGTCCGTATTTCTAAACAAAAGGTCCAGCGTTAGCTAGCTAACCGTCTGGGAAACGAGAACCCATCACCGTCTCCTGCTCAGTCCGATCACCTCCGCTGGAAGAGCATCTGGTGCTTTCAGTCCGTCAGCCAGCTTCTCCCCCTCCTCTTCCTCCTCTTCTTCTTCTTCTTCTTCTTCTGTTGCACTGTGCTCTCAAGACACGGTGTTTCAATCACAAATTAAATGACAACTTCACAGAGTGGACGGTTCACGTTATTGTTATGCCCACCGTTAGCTCAGCCTCCCCTTCTGCCAAATGACATCAGGCGAACATACACCCCCACGCAGCGTCGCACACACACACACACACACACACACACATTAATCAGTTCGTGCATTCAAGTGCTCTTTGGATGCTCGGAGTTTCCATGTCGAGTCGTCGTTGGTCCGAATTTGTTTTTGTCTTTTTACTTCTAAATGTGGTAATAACGTGGACACCTAATATAAGAAGTGTAATATTTTATCACTTAACAATAATATCGTTTACTATATACTTACAGCATTAATGGTGACAAACTAAAACCTAATTTTAAGTTAGAAATCAGCAACAGTATATATAAAGTTCCTAAAAATATACAATATATGTTATATTGTATATTTTTAGGAACTTTATATATCATTAAGATATATAAAGTTCCTAAAACCATTAAGGAACTTTATATATCTAAAACCATTAAGACAACTTTTACTTTCGTCCGTCTTGTCTTGTCTTTGTGAGTGGTTGCCCCGACTTGAAGGAGCCCTATTTCTCCAGCCATATCGATACTTTTCCGATTATTCCAGCAGCCCCTGAATGCAAGGAGTGTCTTCACGTTCCGAAGCGAAGTGGGGGTTCGTTTTCTTCTCGCGATACTTCCCCAAATACGGGGGTCGTGTTGTCCTGAGTCGCCCTGATGTTTTTGCCCTTTTGCCCATTGTGGCAAGGGCAGAATCGGTGCAGACGGGATCCCGTGATGTGACACTTTACCACTGATTATCTCACTACCGTAACATGATGTAGATTATTTACATACTAAAGACTCTCTGCAAGTCAGTATTTAGATATAATTTAGGAAATTTATCAAATTTTATTCAAAAGCAATATGATTTACAGGGCAGTAGAAATGGGTTTCTTATCCCCAAATTAAGCTTCTGAAATGTATTATTAACTTAAATCGACTCTAACTACAATAATATGTTTCATTTAAACTCCAAGGTCTAATAAACGACATTTCAGTGCAAAATTATTTTTATTACTCCGCTATATCTGACAGCTATTTCACACATTCCTACAGCTTAATATAGTATATAGGTTTATACATCTACTATATGCAATTTATATTGTAGACAGAATCACCTCCCTCTGCAATATTTAAATGCTTCTTAATAAATCTGCGTTATTAGTCCATTAATTATAGCTTTGCATGTCACACTGTGCAGCTGATGCAAAAGGAAGTCCTTTAGTTGACATTTTATGTGCATTTCTTGCTGCTATAACTCAAGTTAATGATTCTTTTTGAGCAAAAACAAGGTGGGTGTAGTCTAAATATAGCACCAACATTGTTTAGAAGGCAACTAATAATGTGTTTTTAGCTCCCCCTACTGGTTCATGAACCAAACAACATTATTCAAGCTATAAAAATACCTGCAGCCTTCTTTTTTTAGCACTTTGATAAATGGACTTGAGCTTGTATGGCACTTTTCTTGTCTTCTGACTACCCAAAGCGCTTTTACACCGCAGGTCACACCTACACATTCACACACTGATGGCAGTGGCTGCTATGTCAAGTGACCATCAGTAACTAATCCCAGTTATACACATGCCTACGCCGCTGAAGCAAATCAGGGTTAAGTGTCTTGCCCAAGGACACGTCATTGGACACGTTGCTACATGAGCTGGGGATCGAACCCCCCGACCTTCCAGTTGAGGGACAACCGACTCTACCAACTGAGTCACAGCTGCCCACACTTCCTAACCTCACACTCCTGATACAGCCCAAAAAACCCCATTAATTAAAAAAAATATACAAATCCAGGCAAAAATTCTGTTATTATTGTCATTTCTTTAATTTACATAGATATACAGTTAAATGGACAAAAAATTGCATTATGGTTTTCCAGCTCCCTGTTGGTGCGTACAAGTATGGCAGGACAGACTACAAATGATTGGTGACATCAAATGAGGCTGTGGCTTTGAGGTCCTCTTTCCTTTCTTATTTTTTCTAAGCAGCCATACACAGCAGCATGCCCAAGTTAAAAATCACCCTTTCCTTAATTTATCTTTCATACTTCATCCACAAACGGCGTATTGATGAGGTGTCCACTAGCTGCCATCGTCTTCTTGGAGTCTACAAATTTCTTTGCAGCCTGTAAAGAGAGGACAGAGAGTTTATTTAATCATCAGTAAGAAAAAATAAACTCAAACACTAGATACTGTAGCTCCCTTCACTGCCATTAAATGATCTGCATTGACTGATGATTGTTAGATCACTGTCAATGTTTCTGTAAGACATAGTACGTACACACAGCTGTAGTGTTAAACTCTAATCAAAGAGTTTGTTCATCACTGCCACATCTTGGGTTCGACCTTGAGCCTACATATAATATGTAACAGCTTTAAGTAACAATTAGGCATGCATGATACAAGTAAATATGCAAAAACCTTTTTAATACATTGTTGACTACATGGTGTGAGATCAATAAATAAAAAAGGCAGATTGGCTATAACTCAGTTTGTGTCTACCTTTTTTTTTTTCCAACTCTTCATTGTTCCTATTTAATGAGTGTAGCTGAGAGCGAGCCTGAGATCCATCAGACATATCCATTATACTCAGACCTCCATCCGACAGATAAACTGTTTTAATGCTGAGTGAGGAGGCAATACTGGATAACACGGCGCTCGTTTCATATTTATTGTGTTCACTTCAAAACTGTGCAACATTTTTATTCCAAATGCACGTATATCTGGATAATGGTCAAGCTAAAATTATATGCGCAGCCCTAGTAACAATCTCAAAGATCTGTTTGGTTCTCTTTAGCAGCACATGTTTTAAACGTGGGTCTGTGCATTTTATTTGTCCTTCATCATTAGTCCTTTTGTCATGATCTACACCAGGGATCAGTTCATGCTTACTGCACAGGCTTTCATCAGGGAGGGGGGTTTATATTACTTAACATCATTTGTTGGTGGACAGTGACTACCAGCAGACATTCATTTAAATGGAAATATCAGTGATTACTAAGTAAGCTGAATGAATTGATTACTTTCTGCCACTAGGGGGCAGCAGAACAAGCTCTAGCACAACATTTAAAGTTGTTATTAAGAAATTCCCACATTCAGCAAACATGAGGTCATGTAGGCATTCATTTGATAATATAGAATACAATATTCATATGTAAAGCTGTTCCACCATGTTTATGAGGAAGTTGCTTACTACATGGCCATGACAGTAATGGCAGGTATTGTTTATTATGTTATGTCTGAATCCATGATCATTAAGAACTCCAAAAGAAGGGGAATAGAAAAGTGGACGGACAATCTCTGTGGGTTTGTCACTACAAGCGACCTCTCTAAAATATATTCTGAAGCACCACAGAAGAAACTGACCTTGACCACATCATCATGAGTGACGGCATCTACAGCGTGGATAACAGAGTCAGGGCGCTGGTACGCTGCAGTGGCCAGAGCCTGAGCGCCGATCTCCTCCAGCAGGCTCTCAGAGCTCTCTATCGACATCAGGTACTCGGTTTTCACCTGGTTCCTACATGGAGAAACAGACTGAAAGTCAATAACATTAAGGGAAACAAAAACCTGTCTGTATCCCTCTAACATAAATCCCTGAACTCACTTTGCTCTGGTGACGTCAGCCTCTGATACGTTTCCCTCGGCCACTCCTTGCACTTGAGCCATGGCGGCTTTGATCACCTACAGAAGACAACAACAAGCACAACATTCAGTGAAATGGATTGTTTGTATCTTTGCACATTTAAGAGATGCTTGTCAATTTGTCTAGGATGGAGTGAATTTTGCACGCACCTCTCCTGCAGAGCCGGCTTGCGCGATGGTATAGACGCCAAACAGGCCGGAGTCAGAATATGAGGCGTTGAAAGCTGTGGCCTGAAAGACAGCCAGAGAGAGAAAAACAAACTCAATACACTTCTCCACAATGAAAAAAATATGGTTCTTTTTACTTTTGTTTTAAACTTACATCGAAAGGCTGTGTGGTAGCTTTAGCGATACCCTGGCTCAGTTTGCTGGTGATGTTGGCGCCTCTCTTTACGTGTGGACCAGCTCCCAGGATCCTTTGCAGCACGCTGAAGGCATTAGCTTCCGCACTACCTGACACACCACCCTCGCTGGCAATCAGGGCGTGGACCAAGTCGTCGTTGTTCTGCACCCGCAGCTCACCTACACAAAAACACCAACACAACATTAGCATCGTGAAAAATGAGGCCGTGATGAATTTTAAGAAGTGTGATGTTGCTTTTAAAAAGTCCAGTTTTACCTCCACGGTACACAGCCTGAGCCACAGGAGCTCCAGCCCCACTGCGGGCACTCAGGAGCCCCTCCCCCACTTGCCTCAGGACCGAGTGCGTTACACCTGGACGCATAAATCAGACAAAACCCAAATTAACTTACAGAGTACCTTCAATAATAAAATAATAACACACATACTGGGGATTAAAACTTTTAATATGAGCACAATATGTCATCATCCAGGCATGTCAACACTTTACAGTATCAAGACCAGAGATATGCAAACTTTTTAACTTGGGTTTATGTGAACAAGTGGCATGAACATGACGAGACATGAATGTTATTTTTCCTCATATTGGCTATGAGCTACGTGCATTACCAAAGGATACCTCTAGAGGTCACTACAGAGACTTCTCAAAGAGAAAGCAGTGCCAATATAGGAGGTAAGTAAGGTGGACAGAACACCGTCTGCACAGTCTCCACTCTGCCTCTGACATTTTCCTCCATGCATGGACGTAACAGTCTCAGACCTGTTTCCATTTAGTTTAGCTGACTTGACTTCTAATGGATCTTATCTGTCACCAGCTAGTCTGACTGGCATATTGTCGGCTGTGTGAAGCTGTGAAGCTGTGAAGCTGTGAAGCAGTCACTTTATAGAGCTCTAGTAAACACTCACCTAGTCCTACAAGAGCCATTCTGCCAGTGGTGAAGTTGTCTTCAACAAACGACTGCAGCTACGAGGGGAGGACAAGGAGGAGGAGGAGGAGTGTGAGAGGGACGCAGAAAAACTGACAAATAATGATTTAGACACTCAAGAGGACAAACAAGTTATTACCATTAGAGAATGGGGGAAAAAAACACAGATCATACCTGGCTAGTGGAGATTTGACCGACCATGTAGTCAGGGCAGTACAGAGAGTTGGACAGGGTGTTTTTGTACGCTGCTTCATGCAACTTCTCAATTACACCTGCATGACGTGAAGAGGAAACACAATGATCTGTTTAGGTCACAGTGACAGTTGTTGTCTTTAGCTTTTCCACAGTGAGTACTCAGATAGAAAAGAGCTCAGCTGCTGTTCCAGGTACGAACCGATCTGAGGACACTGCTGAGCCAGAGCTTTGTCAATCTTCACCCGAGGCGTCAGGTCGGCCACTTCCCACGGCCGAAACGCCTGAGCTGATGTCACGTTCACCAGTTGCTCCAGTAATAAATCTCTAGACACACACACACACACACACACACACACACACAAAGATACAGTTATGTTCATGTAACAGACTGACTTGAAGAAATACACATTGAATATGAGCGCAGCAGCACTTACAGTTGATCTCTCAAACATTCTGCAGTGTAAACCATGGTCTCTCTCGATGATGTCACGCTGCAGATAAACAACAAGTCGGATCAATGTGGGTGGACTTCTGTTACAGGTATTCTCTTTAGTATTTACAGACAAGACTGTCTGAGTGTACATGTAGGGCTCGACATGAAAAGCTGATTGCACGTTTCACTGGCCCGCTCAGGTACGATGCTGCCTTCAAACTAAAAAAAGAGAACACATGATCATGATTCCTCACTGTTTTCCTGTGGTACGGGTGTTTTATCACTGAGATCATCTTGTTAATTACTGACTCCGCATTAATGTTTCATTAGCGCCCATGTGCCTGTATCATAGCTTAAATAGAGGCAGCCACTGCTGACGGCTTTGCTGTTGTGAGTCTTGCTAGGGAGCGCTCACTACACTCAGAAACAGACTGCAGGTTTTCTCTCATAAGCTTGTATGATGGTAAAATGTTTTTAAAACCTACTGATTCCACCCCAAAGCCGAGCAGAAATCCACATTTAAAGAGAAGAAAATCAACCAGAGGAGGAGGTGGAGGAAGGACTCAATGAATTAGAAAAAGGTTTGAAACACATTAGTTCTGAATCAGATCGGTTCATTTTTTCTACTTTTCTGGTAAATTCTTGACTTTTATTATCTAAATTAAAAGTGATGTTCAGGGACCTGTGGTGACAATGGTCAGGCCAGTGATCTTGAAAAGCCGGGCCAGTGGCAAATTTAACTGAATGTCAAGCCCTAACATGTGAAGAGAGTCTCCTCACTGACCTCAGGCTGCCCCCCAGTGCCTCCACACTGCGACAGATCTTGAAGCCAGACGAACTGTTGTTGGTCTGCAAAACAAAAACACACAAATGTACAAGATCCCCCGGTTTGTTTAAGAAGAGCACAGAAGAAGTGTAGTGAAAGTTAGCTTTCCTTAATGCACCAGAATAAGCAGGCAAACAAGGTCATTTCTGGCGCTGTAAAAAGCTAAGAGAAGGTGCCACATACATTATCAATAAAAGCAATCAAAGCAAGCTTGCAAGTTTTCCTGAACTCAAATTATTAGCAAATTACCAGGTTCGCTGCCAGCCGCAGTACGTGAGAGACGCCCTGGTTTTCCACAGTCTCAAAGCGACTACCGGCTCTCACAAAAACACCGACACTGGCAATGGGGGAGTAATTCTCCAGCGATGCGATCACCAGGCCGTTTCGGAGTTTGGACACCTGAAGCAGCAAAGAAAACGTTTTAATCACACGGTGAGCAAATATCTTACTCATTTAACCATTCATTCAACTGCTGCAATTAAAAAGCTTCTCATCAACAGAGTAATCGTTTACAGTTTGACGGTAGCCTACAGTTTCTGTGATGACAAGAGCAGCACTTACTTGGACATTTTGGGCGGGGAGAGGTGCAGCAGGCGGCGGTTTGCGCACTGACAGCGGTTCGGTCAGGGCCTCGCTCCTCCTGGCGGCCGCATAGCAGCGTTTCTATTGGAAGTGTCGACATCAAATATCAGACAAGTGACCCCTTAAGCAGCTGCTCATCTTCTTCATTCTGGTGGTAATGGGCTGAAGTACTCGCACTATACTTGACTTAACCTAACAGTGCGCCTGTGTGGAAGTGGTCCTACTTTTAAAAATTAAAACACAAGTATCCAGGTAAAGAGCTAATTGGAGAAGCGTAAACTTTCTTCCACTCGCTCAAGGCTGGCATCAGGTTGAACATATCTTAATCCCACAAAGGTAAACAAGCCCTCACATTTCTTAGAACACCTGCTGTCCCTTACACATAGAGGCAACCTACAAGTGACAACGAGAGGTCACCAGATGGCCCACAGGATCTCAAAGCACTAAATGATTTTTCTGTCTTGACGCACAAAGCCTACATGTGAAATTGTTGGTTTCTATTTGTAAATTACTGGATAGTTAACATTTCCTGCACGGGGAAAGTTATTCACATTAAAACAGAGCAAAATAATTGACTTATGGGTCGAGCTTTCACCACTTACAGACAAAAAGAAGTAACGCTAGACAAGGAGCTGAAGGTTTTCTAACCAGGTTGAGCTGAAACTGATTGATTCAGCTCTGCAACTACCTTCTATGTGCTTTACCAATTATTAATGTTGGCTTAAATTCTCTCGCAAGAATAATGTTGTAATTTAAATGCCTGTGCAATTAGATTAATACGTTCATAAAATAAAATAAAAACATAGCCCCATGTCCACCACCCCCATCTGTGAGGTCTGACAACTTTTACTGCACAATGTTTAAATAAATGAAACAAACTAACTTGTTACTTAACTAAATTATCTTTTTTTTTTTTTTTTACAAACCAAGTCGACTATGAAGTTGTCAAGGACTCAACGCACTTTTCTAATCTGTTAAAGTATTTGAATGTTCTGTTGTTTGTCATCATGTTTTTATTTTTGTGCTTATGAAGCCACATTGTGGACAAGTTATATTACATTCTCAAATATTAATCCATGCTTGAATCTAAATTCCAGTTTGTGACACAAAATAATCCAAGTACTCTTCTGTTAATCAACATTTTTGAAAAAAGGTTTTAATAGACATTAAATCAAAGTGTAGGTGTCATATAAACATGTCCATGTATGGCACACTGTCAGAAGGCCAATGTGTCCTGAAGTGACCCATGCACATTCAGTACATGGAGACCCCAAACACACTGCATATGTCCGGCTATCAAAGCCTGGGAACACTGAGTAAAATACCAGAAGTTCCCCCAGTAAACAACGTAGACAAAGGAGGAGGGTTGGTTTTCTTTGAAGACAAACTGCACGAAATATTTGAGTTCCTCGAGTCAGGAGATGACCTTCAGGTTACATCCAGCTGAGCACAGAAACACATGGAGACACAACACAGAGGAAAGCTAAGCCACATACACTGGCTATTTTACAGCCGAGTACCTCCTAATATCACTCGGAACATGTGAATGATTCCGGGGATACTTCACTCGGCTGTAAAAACAGGGAAGCATAAACCTGTATTAGCTAGCCACCTAGCATGCTAACTAGCCAGCTGGCTAACTGGAGCCCCTTTGCGATCTCTCTTTTAGAGCCGTTTTCGAGAGCCAACACCCGGCAGAGGTTCTCTCCTGTTGGGTACACGGTTCACATAAAACGAAGTACAGGCGGGGACTTACGGGGAGATTGTTCAGAGACCTGATTCCTCTCATGACTCCTCCAGACTCTCTCCTTCAGACAGATATGGCGGCGGGTTGACGTCTTACCCACAATGCACTGCGCCGCACAGAACGATCAAAGATGATTGAGGATGTCAAGATGAACTTCAACTATCTTTAAACACCGCAGGGGAGCATTATCAACTTATTCCATTGGAAATAAGTGTGAGAGTGCTGAAGTGGATAATTAACTATGGGAAACTGTGTCAAAAGATCAAAATACAGATTTGTTGTATTGCTTACAATAATGTCCAGATGCGTCCAGGCTTCTTCTTCTTCTTAACATGCAACCACGACCCCTCCCAACACTGAAGACCTACTGATTAAAAACATTGCAGGACTTCTTAAATAAAAAAAACTTTGATTAAATAAATAAACACTGGGGGTAATTATAGCAGCTGTTGTTGCTGAGAAACCCTAATATTACTGCTCAAAAATGTATACAGGTCATTTGTATTTTCTGGGTTTCCAGTTTTTCCATTTTTTGATAAAACATTTGCAATGTTATGTATTATTTTTAAGGTTAAATTTTTACCACAATAATGAAATTAGTACTGTCATAACAATTTTAGGGCTTCAGGTCCCTCTCGAAATATTTTAACAATTCAGGTTTGTGTAGAAAATATTAGCTTTTAGGAAAAAAGAATACAAAAAAAAACAGCATTCACATTAAGGAATTAAACATCTTTATTAGAACCTAACTCCATTTAAAAATCACTAAAATGCATGATGCACACTACATTACAAAAATATACTCAAACATATTACAGGTAGTGATAATCATTCAGAACTTATAAAGTTTAAATACAAAAAAAACGGCACATTTCAGACACCTTTTTTCACAGGTAAGCTTGAACATATTCACAAGACGATTCTTTGGCCCACAGAGCATCTTTTGATTGAGTGAAATGTTTCGTTGTTTCTTTTGAAGTTGTCACACCCCAATAAATACGTCACATAATAAATCATACAAAAATACAATACGTTGTCTGGGAGGATCTTCACAGATTCCAGGTGCTGGGACATTAAAACAGAACCCTGAACATGTTCACATCTTACAGAGAGTGGGTTTAGACTTCTGATTGAGTCCTTAATCAATCTCTCACTGAGTCCACACTTTAGCTTCATGTACGACGCCTCCTTTGTCAACACGTGAAGGACAGAGTGAGCGAGCCTCCACGAGCAGTCACCAATTTAAAAACACTTTGCTCTTTGCAAACAGTAACAGCTCAAACACTGGGATGCCAATTCTAGGCTTCCCTCTGCAGATCGCTGTTCTCCGCAGCTCTGAGCGCTACAGTGCGCTTTTCCTCAAAGAGGGTGCAAATAAGATTTCTTCAGAAGGTTTCTTCCTGACTTGCTCGCTCAGTTGTCGATCGGCGTATCGGGACAGCTGCTCATACAGATGTCCTTCCTCAGCTGGAGAGACACACAGCTGAGCCAGCTGCGACTGGTGGGCATCTCCCCGACGATCTCCCACGCGTCTGTTTCGTCACAGTACCTCTCTATGGTGTCATGATACCTGCAGGTGAAAGGTCATCGGCATTTAGGAGTTGAAAAGTTGTATGAAACATTAGAGAAGAAGAGAGGGTGTTCATGTGTCTGTCCTCTGGTTTAAATCCACCGGGGTGGAATCAGGAACACATTTCTCACATTCTTCTGGAAGATTAGCTCGTCGTTCATGTCACAATTAGGATGTGAAGATGTGAACTTTGCAGAGTGTTTTATGCTACACATTTCTGATTCAGATGGCTAAGGAAGTATGTTATGGATAGTAAAACACACTTCTGCATAAATCAAATAAATGATTGTGTTAGAAGTCAATAAACTGTAACTTCTGGGGAAAGGAGCCATGCATATTTTATACATTTCCTTTTGTTTTCCGCTGTTCTGAAAACAATATATGGGTGATTGTTGTGTCTGCATTGGCCTCGAGTTAATCAAATCGCTGCATGTTTACATCTAAACCAGTCAAAGCACAAAAACTGTGTGTCAGATATGGTTCCTCTTGTGCTCGGATTAACAGACTTTGAATCAGTAGATAAAAAAATAAAATAAAAAAGCCTGTAAACTGCATTCCTAGAACTACAATCATTCCAAGTTCCTGCAGTGTGAACACAAAGTGGAGAGATGAGGTAGTCTAAAGGTTCTTAGTCAGTGTGAAAAGTATCTTTTGGTGTTTTTTTTATGCCAGAGCAACTTTTGCACACTACTGATTGTTTCAATGAAGCTGTACTAAAGTTGTGAAGGCTGCGTTGTTTGCATTTGAACAGTCAGCTGGGGGGGGGGGGAATGGGAGCAATGGCAGATTAACTACATTTAGACCCTAATTCCAAAATAAAAGTTATTTCCTAAGAAGTTCTCACTTGGATACGATGATCTTTTCATTCACAAGCAAGATATATATTTTTTCCATATTAGACCCTCCTCACCTGTCCCAGCCTTCTTCTCCTCCCAGGACGTAGATCTTCCCGTCCACCACAGCAGCACCGGGCCGGTAGCGTCGCTCCTTCATGGGGGCGCACATGGTCCACTGGTTGGTCTTGGGATTGTAGCACTCGACTTTATCCGTGTTCTCTGTCGAGGCGTGCCAACCACCTGGGGAATACGTGTGAGTGACAGAACGAGAGACTTAACAGTGGGAGGAGTGGATTGCTGTGTTTCTCCATCATCTAGATCTGTGTTGTGTAGCGTACCGATGACATAAAGCTTTCCCTTGAGTGTACAGGCGGCTGAACCGGAGCGAGCGATCTGCATGGGAGCCACCTCTGTCCACACAGATGTTTTAGGGTTGTACACCTGAGCGAGGTCCGTTCCATCGCCGTCCTCGAGAACAGCCCCACCTTCACAAAAAAAAAAAAAAAAAACAAGTTCATTCAGTGTTTATATTGAATAGAAAAGTTAAAACGGGGGCGCCCGTCTAGCGGTTATGTTGCGTGCCCCATGTACGGAGATTATAGTCCCCATTGAAGCAGCCGTGGGTTTGAATCCGACCTCTGCCCCTTTGCTGCACGTCATCTCCACGGACAATAAAAGTAAAGCTGCATGTGGGAATTCTGCGTTTCCCACCTGTAACATAGAGCAGTCCGTCCAGGGCGACCACAGCAGGACTCGTGACGGCCATCTTGACAGACTCGGTGAACTGCCACGAGTTGGTGTGCGGGTTGTAGCACTCCACGGAGTCCAGACGAGAGCGGCCCTCCCATCCTCCAACGGCGTACACGAAGCCGTCCAGCATGACCAGGCCTGAGGAGAGGGTGAGGAAAATCAAGACTCTTAAAAACAACAACAGCTTCATGCCCTCTTTGAGTAAAGACAACTAGAGAATACAGGAGCCACTGCCAAACATAACCTGCTTTTAATGTTTATGGGATGAGATGGAGGAGGAGGTATGACAGAAAAAAATTTCAGCATCTGAAAGAAATACAATATGACTTGCATCAAAAAAAAATTGAGAAATGTGTTAAATCAAATTTAAATATATAAACAATAAAAGGTATTCATTCAGATGCCTGCAGTGGAGAAGTTGATGTTCTGATTGGATTTCAAGTCTTAATGAATGAGCAGCTCCCATAAAGGGCTTTATATAAATTAACACTGGCATCATGTTTTGATGTTGAACTGAATTGATGCCGCTGTAGGCTCTTCTGGTGCGTTCAATTTTGCGTCCAGCGACTGGCTCAGACTGCAGGAGACTCAGAACCGATCACCGGCAATTGCAGGGTTGTTCCCGATTCAAGGCTGCACAGAACCGATTATCTTCCCATGAGTGGTATAAAGCTCCAATATTAAGGATTTTAAAATGTCTAAGAGTAAGTCATGAAAGGGTCCGGAGGAAGTCGTGTGACTACATTAACCGCAAGAGACAATGGAGGAGAGAAATGAGTGGTGGCTCTGGACAACATTTCTACCTTCATACAGCCCAACCCTTAATCTGTGTGAGGCTTTGTTGTGACTGTTTTCAGTCCATGACACATGCCTGGGTTCTAACACCAAGACTGCCCTCACCTAACTCAGAGCGAGCTACGTTCATCGGCGCCATCTCGAACCAGGAGTCGAAGCAGGGGTCGTAGCGCCACATCTCCCTGCTGGCTGACCCGTCAGGAAACTCTCCTCCTGCCAGGTACAGAGTGGAGTCTGCGGGGAGACGGACAGGAGGGTTGTGTGCACAATTTTTATTTTTTTTAAATTTTATTTTTTTAAAACAAGAGAACACAATATGAAGAGCCGCTGTGTCGTCACTTTTCAGAACCGTCAAGTGCGTTTTCTCCTCACCCGACACGACCAGCCCGTGTTTGCTCACAGCGAACGGGAGGCACGCCAGATTCTTCCACTCATTGGTCACGGGGTTGAAGCTCTCGACGCTGCGCAGCACCACTTTGTCATCCTCCCCGCCAACTGTCACTATCACCTCAGCTGTGCCTGTTGCCGTGGTAACAGGAGGAGAAGCATATTGGAACAGACGGGATACAATGCAGTGGTGTGTTACAGCGACTTCAGGTGAACCTCATTTCTGCATTTAGAATGTCGTCCACAAAAGGCTCGGAGGGGAAAATGAAGACAATCTCAGTTTGAGTATATTTGAAGGTATTGTTATTTTTCACGTACAGTCTGAAACCTCCAACCTGTGTGATCGATGCTCAGTTTGTGAGTGTAAAAAGGTGTGCTGCGTTCACCTGTGGACCTGCGTGGCCTCGCTCTCGGGCAGTAGAGCTCCCCGCGGCGGTCCTTTAGCAGCAGGTAGTCCTTGGCCTCGGAGATGAGCCTCTGGCAGCTCAGGTTCTCCTTCACCACATCCAGGGACTCGATGACATCGTGCAGGTAGTAAGGGCTGATCAGAGGCAGCCGGATGTGTTCGAGGACCTTCAAACGGAAGAAGAGAAACCTGATGAACTGTAACTTCACACAACTAAATATGGATCCTTTAAAGAGCTCAACATTCTTTGACATGCAGAAAAATAATGTTTTTGACCTTTCAGAGAAGTTAGGCTAAATCGGCAGAACAACACTGAACAGAAAAAGAAGGGTCCTTTTACATGGGGGGCCCAGCGTCTAATTGAGTGACAGTGTTGGCATGTGGCACGTGATTTATGAAACCATAAACACTAACAGCTGCTGAGTTGAGGGCTTTTTACTCCGCTCAGTCAGCCTCAAACACGTGCTCGCCTCCAGGGTGTGTTTAGGATATCAGTCGTGAGAGGACAGAGTGAAAACCGCATATTTTAGTCGCCACATTTCTAGCCGGATGCAAAGCAGAAGCACCGGTGCGCGTGAAATCGACTGATTAGTACCTTTTCAAAGCTCTGTTTGCGAGAGGAACATTTATTCAACCACAGCATGGCCGCCTCAAACACCACCTCCTCTTTGAGCACGTTCAGATGGTCACTGGCGAGGATCTCTGTCAGCTTGTCGACACACAGAGACAGGAACTCCTCCTGGAGGGAAAACAAAAACAACAAGATGGGACACCTGCTCAACCTGCTCTCCAGACAAACACACTAACCTCTGTTCATTATTTGTTTTATAAAAAGAAAATTACCAATCCAGAAAACCTCACAAAACTACCAAAGCATGTCAGAACAACGACTGAAATATTTAGTACACAATGAGCAGTGTTAATCTCACATCATGCAATAACACGTCTGAGAAAAGTCTTTAAAAAGAAACACATTTTTAAATTCACATTAATACTACAGGTACTGTTGTATGTCTTTTTTGTGTTTGATTGCTGTCTGAAGTCTGTGGTGTGCATTTCATGTGTGCTTTTAAAAACAATGTGATTTCGCCTTATTCATGATTGTTGAGATAACCATTTGTTTCTTGTATTCCTTTGTTTTTATCATCAATGTAAAGCACATTGAGCTTACCTGTAATGAAACGTGCTTCATAAATTAACCCTCTATTCTATCAAAAAAACATGTTTAAAAATTACATTTCTAATCCCCACAGTTATTTTTTGTCTGCATATTTGGTGATTTTGCTCATTTAGAATATGGAGGTTGTAACTGGTAGCTGCTGTGCACCCAATGTTCCCATCATGAATTAGAAAACATATTTATAAACAGTATGTTAAAGGAATATTTTGGTGGTTTTAGTCAATGAACTGGTGCAATGACAAACCTGCAACAAATTCCCATTCACCACAAAAGCAAAAAAAAAAAAAAAAAGGGACACAGCTGTTTGTTTATGTGCTGTTTTAACCCTTTAGCACTGAATTAGTCTTATTTTTTTATTGGTTTCACATAATAACTTAAAGCTCCTCAACATTCAAAAACAGAGGAACAACTTCTAAACTCAGGAAATGGGACCATAGGAGGGGCGTGTGACTGCAGCTATGTCTCTGCGGGAGTTAATCACTAGTATGAATGCTGACAGGAAGGTGGATTAGCTTTGTTAATCCCCTTTCACACATGAAACACACAACACTGCCCGCTTACGCTCTCCTGGGAGGCGTTTACTGGGGCACGTGCAGAGGCAGCGTTGTATGAACCTGATGACTGCGTTAAAGCTCCTGTGAAAAGTTTTTTTTAACTCTCTATGAAACTGACTGGAATTAATACTGATGCCTCTTTATGACCCAAGAAGGCAAATGAGACCATAAGCAAGAAGTTTGATTATTCCCATACAGCTATTTTATATGGCGGTCACACCTGCTGCGTGGTAGGTGTCAGACCAGGCGATGAACAGCACCCAAAATAAATTACACTTTTTAAAAACTTGCCATGCCAGGTTCATTATGAGTCGCAAGTTAGTTAGACATTTAGAAAAAAGAAGGATGCGAGTGTTTATATCAGAAAAACACTACTTACACTGTACAGGACAAGATCAGCAAAGAGATAAATGTTCCTGCTTTGTCCACAGGGGGCGCCAAACTCAATGCTAAAGTTCCTCACAGGAGCTTTAACAATGATTTCTCACTTTTTCTTCTTTTTTTTTTTCCCAGTTGTTGACATTTAGCAACTCACCTTCCCGCTCCTTTATAACTTTGAACTACAATTGAATTTGTCTGAAAGGTTCTTTATAAATAAAGTTTGATTTCATATATCGGCTGATATGGGCGTGTCAACAAGATGACCCTTTGATTATTCTGATTTGAAGCGGTTCCACTGATAGGTCAGAAGATCTTGCGCTAGAGTCAATGTGAACATTTTGAAAAGCATTCTATTTTCTGTCTGAATCTTCATGTGGGTCTACGACATAAAAGACGGTATATTAATATGTTATCGCCTCTCACCTGCTGATACACGCTGCTGAAGTGCTCCAGGATATATCCCATGCTGCTGTTCTCCAGCCTCCTACAAGAATGGGCCTCGGCGAAGCAGTGAATCCCCACACAGTTCATCTCATCCATCTGACTCTCCATGAAACGACAACAAGCCTCGCGCACGGCCATCACGTCCAGCAGGTTGGCTGCTGCCAGCAGAGCCTGCAACGGGTGAAAGTAGTTTTAACCACACATGATCGGTCTTAAAGAGCGATGGGAGAAGGAAGGGGGGGGGGGGATCCTTTACCTGCACATTTGCTTTAGAGATGTAGACCTCTGATGTGTAGGCGTAGCTCACCAGCATGCCAATCATCTGAGGCTCAACTCCATTGATGGCAACCCGCTCCTGTTTGGACTCTATCAGGTCAGTGGAAAACATTGCCTGAGGAGATAAACGAGGAAACAATTTAAGCTGCCATGTGAATGTCTGTCTTATGAACACGACCCCTAGATTGTTGTGTGATGTTTACCTGGAAGTAAGAGCTAAACGAGGCCAGCACAATGCGGTGGCAGGGGAACTCCTGTCCTCCACAGCACAGGGTCACATCACAGAAGGCGTTGTTGAGCCGCAGGCTGTTGAGGCCCTGCAGGACGGTGCTGGGGTGCCTGGTCTCCACAAACAGGTAGTCGTCTTTGGTCAGGGAGGCTGCAGGAGGGGCTGCAGCGGCGGTGCTGGAGTCCTCAGGGACCGGGAAGGTGACGTTGATCGTGGACGGTGACGGCAAACCGGCGTTGACAGCACTTATTTCAGCCATATCTCACTTTGTTAGGCAAGCCTTGGAGGAGGAGGAGGAGGAGGAGGAGGAGGAGAGGTAGTGGAGGCAAAGCAGACAACAGTGTTAGGACACTTTGACGTACACTGTCCGCGTTTCCTTTCTACAGGTAACAAGGGCGGATTTAAAACAACCTGGTCAAGCAATTCTATTAAGTTAGCCCCTTAAGCTTCAAGTGGCAATCGCGATGGAGGGTTAGGCGGAGAGACGATCTGAGATTGTCTATTAGCTCCCTAATGAGGCTTACCTCCGGAGCAAGGGCTCGGCTGCTGTTCATCGACAAACACTGATCAGTCTTTAGAGGGGAACACCGACAGACAGGTGCGATGAAACACTCAGGAGTTGTACCGGTGAAACATAATTACCTGCTCGACATAATCGTGACCAGTACGGTGCAAAAACACGCTCTCTCTCCCACATACAGTTTAGCGTCAAACGGTAAGGAGCAGCACTTTTTAACGCCCCTCCGCGGAAGCCCCGCCCACCTCTGCGGCGAACGTAGAGAGGAGTTTGAGAGGCAACGCTGCTGGGGACTTCCGGGTTTGTCTCGGTTCTCGATCAGCGACGCGAATTGAATGGTTTAAAAATAATAATCAAAATAATAACAACAATATTTTGATATGGCACTTTTTAAAACAAGGTTACAGTCTCATTTATACGACATTTGTTTTTTATTTCGACTTTATTCTCGTAAATTTACGACTTTAATCTTGTAAATTTATTACGACTTTATTTTTTTTTTTTAACATGGCCCTAATCCTCCGTCGTACATTTAAGTGAGGGGGATCCAAAAAAAAATGTCTAAAAAAAGTTTTAGAAAAGGAAGTAAAGGACGAGTCAAATTCAGATACATATTAAATATCATTTCCTTTTGAAAGCATTGTAAAATAATGTGTTTAATTGCTAAAATGGGTACATGATATAAAACTAAATCACTGAATTTACACTGGATTACCAACAAGACATTAATTGATCATTTTTCTGCATTTTGGAAGCCGCATAACAAACTGAAAACAAAACAGGAGCACACTATTACCTTTCTACCATATCACTTGCAGGGTATCTTGCATTGGGCTGCTGTATAATCCTTCAAAGGTGCCTGCTCATATATCCATGTGCTTTCATGAAAGCTCACATTATATATGTCCTATCTCAATAACTCAATGTGTAGCACAACCTGGAGTAAACACAATATTTTGCTCCCTCTGTGTAAGTCTTGGTATATTAATGCATGTGTGTGGATTCATCTTGATGACTGTTTAACTGGAATGTATTTTAATTAATCACCAAATATCATGCTTTGATACAACTTGAATGTATCTATCTCCTCAATGCTATGAACTCTGCTGTAACATAAGTGAGTGTATTCATTTATATGCTTGTGTTTCTTTATCTTCAGCAAGTTGGTAAGAATACCTGTTTAAAATAATACACATTTTTGATGGACCCAATTCTTTGTCCCCACATGGAAGATGGGTCCCCATAGCGCGATTGTTCGACCAGACTTATGTCCCCACAATGCATGAATACAAGTAGGCACATACACATACACATACACATACACAAGCAGAAGAGACATCATTTTGTAGACAATATATTTATTGGATTTATTTAACAATTATGTTGAAAACAGTCCAAGAAGTTTAAATAAACATAAAACATAAACATAAAGATCCTGTAAGCTAATTTATGGAGAGACGGTCACCAGTTCTGTACATGTTTTATTTACATGTTAATTTTGTCAATTTAAAATCAAGTTAGAGGCCACAAGTCACTCTTTTGTCTTCTGGATTATATATATATATATTTAAATCTTTTTTAAACTAAACGTGTGGAGTCTGTTGTTGATATTTTAGCCCTTGAAACTGAAACTCAATTTTTAATCGATTATAACAAAGATAGTATAAACAGAGCCAAGCAGAATCTCATTCCATCTATATGTATGATTATGACAAATTGTGGTCATTATTTGCGAAGAAAGACTTTGCAAAATTATCTTCAACAGAATATCAATCTATTGGCTGTTTTTACAAAAGGCATACACTCGTTTTTAAGTTCTATGATCATCAATATCTGTTCATGTTTTTCAGATTATAAGCAGCTGTCCTTCATTATGCCAGGGTTTTCAAGAGCGCGCTTCCTGTGAGCGGCAGCCTCCAAGATCTTCTTCCTTGGTCCCAGCTGGATGCGAATGCCTTTCAGGTCATCATCGGAGCAGAGCATCAGCGCCTCCAGGTCCAGGTGCTCTTTGCTGAATGCAGGAGCAAACTCTGGCAACGAGATGGACGACAAGAATGCATCCAAAGGAGAGGTTTCCTCATCTTCATCATCATCCAGTCCCAGATCTTCTTGGTCCCAGGGCAGCTCGGCATCATCATTCCCACCTAGGCCAGTGGTATCTTCTTCTGCATCGAATAACTCGTTCTGAACGAGGAAACCAAGATTTTCATTGGTTCCACCAGGGATGTCGTCTGACTCCAGCCCCATCTTCTTCATAAAAATCAGACCTCCGAGTCCTGGCCGGTTGAAGATGGACTGTTTGACTTGGCCAGATTCTTCGTTGTCATCATAGTCTTCAAAGTCTGTCATTCCTTCGCCACCCATCATGTCCTCTTCCTGCTCATTGAAGACATCCAGAAACTCTGGGTTTTCAGAGGCTCCCCCCTCCTGTTTGAGGAAAATGACATTTCCGTCTCCTCCTGATCTCTGCAGGGTGCCTTTATCTTTCTTCCCCATCTTCTTCTGCAGTGTGCCTTTAACCCTGGCTGTAAGAGAGCCAGACTTATCAGCAGCTATAAGCTTGGAGAACTGCTCATTGACGCTGTTTATGTTGCCACCGTTTGAGAACCCTGATGCCATGCTGGCCTCTGAAACAGACCCAGTATTTCCTGCTCCTCGTTGGAGTTTATCCATCTTGCTCTGGTGCCTCTTTTTCACCTTCTCGCAGAGTTTCACACGCTTCTCTGCTTCTTTGGTGGCCTCCTTCTTTAGGGTGGCCACCTTCTTTGGATTCTGGTTGGTCTGCTGTGAGGCAGAGGCGTCCAGGAAGCGCACACAGTCCATGCGGTCACGGGAGGCAGCCACATCCATGGCCGTGTGGAATTCATTGTCCAGAGCAAACAGATTGGCACCGAAGTTGACCAGAAAGCTGAGGATGTGCATGTGGCCGTTGCCTGCTGCAAGGTGAAGCGGTGTGTTTCCCCAGATGTCACTCCTGTTGGGGTCTCCTCTGTAAGACACAAAAGAGAGGTTTGATTAAAGTCATGATCTGCAAAGTCTTATCGCTCAATTGACCATGATTCCTAACTAGACTAACTATTACAAGCATGGTTCCAAAATGTAAAAGCACAATCATGAAACCACCAAGTTTCTCTTGTTTCTCTTCATGACGTACATGTCTTTCACCTTTTACGAAAGCCTTTATATTTTCAAAATCCAAACAAATTAATTGCAAACTTATCAAGAAATGAGTAGCCTACATCAAAGTAGAAATCCATCAATACTGGAACATTTAGATTGTCCCTCTTGTTTCTAAGTAGATATGTACCAACCTGATATTTAAATGTCCCTCTTGTTTTCACAACTTAATATTTAACAGATATTTTGCAACATGATACTCCAATAACAAAAAAACCCCTCATGTCTTTAAAGAAAATGACCTCGTAAAGAAAATCTCATAGACCATGGTAATGCTCAGAAGAAATGGTACTTTTTTTTAAAAAAGATACCACTGGCAGAAGAGTTGAGATATAGTTTGAGCTATACTTTTAATCAACTTCTTCCCTAGAATTAGATGAAAAGATTGTTACCAGCCTGGTAGCTTAGCCTAGCTTAAGAACTGTGAACAGGTGAAAACACCTAGCCTCGCTCTGACTAAATGATATCAAAATCCCTTTGAAGTCATCTCTTAAGTTCACCAGTGTACATGCTGACATCTGATTTGTTTCATCCAGGTGCAAAATGAAGTGTTGATTGTTGATTGATTGTTTTTTCTTGACAATTTCTGAATTGAAAAAGATTGAATGAGCGTTAGGAGTGATCTCAGGTGTAATTTGTAACCTTTGGAAAGGCAAATGTTAGTATTGTTTTTTTAAATATTTGTAACTACAACGACGCCTGAATCTATGAAGTGAAATGATAAAGCTACGGATAAAAGTGCATTACATTATAACATGTCTGAGGATAATAAGTAAACTATTAAGACTTAAAGTCCTCCAGGGCCGTGCCTCTTTGTCACAGCCATAAAACACTTGATTGCTGTATTCTTGCAGCAACTTGTCATAAATCCCAGCTCATGCTGACGATGAGCAAAGCGGAAATGCTTGAGATAACCCTGTCCACGTAGGTGAGGAGAACGATACACCTTACCAAATATCCTCAAACACCTTTCCTAAATCTAATTTTTCAGTGCTACTGTCGTGCTACATATCAGCCTGTCTTTTGTTGAGTTGAATGATGGATGGAGGAGGGGGTGGTGGGGACAGATAAAGGGCTCTTTTGTTTGATGGGATGGATTGGCACAGTTATCGAGAGAAAGGAGTAGAGTGAAGTTTTAGCTCACACTATTATAGGGAGTGAGATTGAATCACTAATACATGTTGTTAAAAAACAGATTAAGTACTAAAGATGCGATGCTATGAAACTTGAGATCAGTTTGAAGGTGTTTTATATAAAATTTTAAAGTAAAATAATGATTAACATGCATATATGTCTGTCTTTTTATACAAGTAGTCAGACTGAAAGGATACCAAACAACTTACAGAAACTTTACAGCACTAAAGTAAAAGGTAGAAAGAGCTTGTCATACATAAAAGTTGTTTTCATTACTGGATAGACTATATGTGAGATGAAGCAAAGGAAACAGAAAAGATGAGCTTACTCTCTGCTGCATATGAGCTGAAGAGCATCGACATGTCCATGGAAAGCAGCCAGTAAAGTGGGAGTCATGCCATCCTCATCTGCAGTGTTCAGGTCCTTCCTTGTGGCCTCCTTTAAGAGGTCCAAGTATCCATCAATTGCCGCTTTGTGGTACCGAGACATCTCCTCAAAGAAAAAAAAAAAACAGAAAAAGGCCAAACAAATCTGTCTCTTTCCTCCACTTTTTCCTCCCTTCTTACACCAGAATCACAGACCGCCGATCCGAGCAAACAAAGTGATCACTGGGCGGCAACATTTCAGCAGCTCAGGGCCATAAAACAAAAGCAAAGTCCAGGTCACTGCTGTCAGCGGCACAGTTTCCTCCGACATCAACGCTGCCCCAGATCATTACTAAATGAAGAATTGACACAGCAGTGATTTAGAACAAAAACCTGTATTAGTTTCTGCTACTTTATTGAAAGTCTGCTCTATTTATTCAATTAGAAAAAAGTCAGGTATTTGTTTAACCATTTTGCAGCATTTCACTTAATACAATGTGTAGTGGCTATTTGTCCAAAAAATAACAAAAAAAAATCTAAATAAATTAATATCAAAAATAATCAAATGACCACTGGTGCACCATGGGGATGTAATGTACGCAGGCAAAAGAAATCCAATGTCCATGCAAGAGCTGCAGCATTTTGCTGGTTTATTTGAGGAAAACAAACAAAAGAACAAAGAAAATCGTGGCACCCGCTGCCTCTCTTGCTCTGGTAAAAAACAATAGGCCCACCCAGGTGCATGCTGGTCCTCCACCTGCCTCTTATTTAAATAAATAATAATTACCCAAATACCTAACAAAAATACTAATACATACTAAATTTACTAAACAAATAACTAGCAAAAAAAAGAAAACGTTACCCAAAATCTTTTCTAAATAAAGAAAACGTGTAGAATAATTAAATAATACAACACCACCCAAATATTAGTAAACTAAATACAAAATCTAATTCTAACCCCAATTAAATAGCTCCAACACAATGTTACAATTGATTTAGCAGACGCTTTTATCCAAGGCAACGTACATCATAGAGTAAGTACAACACTAATCCAGTCATACACCGCCACTGAAGCAGCGGGAGCAATGAGGGGTTAAGTGTCTTGCCCAAGGACACATCGGACATGCTGCTCAGCTGGGGGTTGAACCCTCAACCTTCCAGTTTTAGAGGCGACAACTCTACCAACTGAGCCACAGCCAAATAAAGATTCATTTGTATTTTCCCTAAAACAAACATCTAAAGTACTTTATCTTAATAATGAGCTATAATTAGATGTTGTACATGTGTTTCAGCAAATGTATATGTTTTTATCAGTTAAATTAGTTATTTTGGCCTTCATTAGATATCACAGCTGAAGAGAGACAGGAAGTGTTGGAGTAGAGAGCGGGGGGGGGACATGCAGCAAAGGGCCGTGGTCAGACCGAATGTGATAAGTTACTTCTGTTGGTCACTTTAGCTAGCAGCCTATATCATCAGTGTGTGAATGTGTAGGTGTGACCTGCAGTGTTTCAGCGCTTTGAGTAGTCAGAAGACTTAAAAAGCACTATACAAGCTCAAGTCTATTATATTATTCTATTATCAAATCCAAAGTTCTGTCTTACATAAAAGCGCTTAAAGGTATGAAAAATTAAAATACAGGGAAACTTGTCGGCATTACAGAGGAATACAGATAACAAGAACAGCTCTTTGATTAATTAATTTAATTATGCATATTATTTAAATTGTCCTTTTAATATAACTCTTTTGAATATGCACCCATGCCATTGTATATGCATTTTGAAAAAAAAGTCAGTGCCATGTTGTCTGCACAATGCATTTTTCATTAATTAAAAAAAAAAAAGTATTATAACTGCTTTTATTTTAAAATATCCATGTCTTCTCTTTTCTGTCCAGTAGGGGGGGGGCTGTGGTCTGTCTTTATTACGCCAACAGAAGAAGAATGAAGAAAGTCGAGAACAACAATTTGGCAGCAGCAGAAGAAGAAGAAGCTGTCAACCCGGCTCAACCAATGAATGGAGACTGGGAGGAAACATTGCTCGACAGTTTTCTTCCTACATTGATCTCTCTTTCTAAACGCCTTTGCTTTAGTAAATACCATGAAGTAGAAGCCGGGTATGTTTTTTTTAACCCCCCACTTCCATTGTTTTTGAGCTTGTAAAACCAGACCGACCACCAGCGTACCTCCCCTCCCGGGTCGCTCCGAGGTTACTTTCGGGCGTTTGTTCTTGTTGTGTGTTTCTGGTTTGCGGTCTGAACGGCGGGAGACGCTGCAGAGATGTCCGACAACGGTGGCACAGCTGTCGGCCTTCTGTCCTACGAGACGCTGGTTCATGCTGTGGCAGGTGCAATGGTGAGCAGAGCAGAAGTGACGACATGAAGTGTGAGAGGGCTTGTCTGCTCTTATCTTACGAGACTAGTGTTGAAAATGAGGAGTGACGGAGCATTTTTCACATTTTATCTGGTGTTAATAGTTGTTGTGGATGCATGTTTCTTCTAGGGGAGTGTGACAGCGATGAGCGTTTTCTTCCCTTTGGACACAGCCAAAAGCAGACTGCAGGGTGAGGTGGAGGTCTTATCATCTTGACCAGAGGTTACGTGATAGCAGCAGCTCGAAAAATAACAATTGATTAACTTTGATGTGTGAAGGTGTTCTTCATTATGGATGAATCTCAAAGCTGAACACACTGCAAGAGACACTTCATGTTGCTTTACGTTCATGTTTCCTTTAAATGATAACATGACAAACATGACAAGTAACATAGAGGACAAACAGGAGCAACAGTGTAAACACTGAAACAATGAGACTGAAGGCGATACAGTTGAACATGATAGAGTTTATAAGGCTCTCACTAATTCATTGTTGTGTTATAGGAGAACCTTATAAGAGGAGATAAAGAGGATAATGAGAAGCAGCTATAGAAAACAAAAACAAATAACAATGTTTGAAGTGACAAAAGAACTTTAACATCATACTAACACATCACACATGCAATAACCCAAATTTATTTCTAAAATTATTCTCAAGTGAAAGTGTTGTGTGTGATGTTTGTTTTCCTGCAATAACAAAGTGATACCCTATTTGCCGATTTCATTCTCGTACATGTGTTGACTGTTTTCTGATATAAATATATAATCTTTTTTTTTTTTTTTGCCACTTTTTGTATTTTCAGTGGATGAGAAGCGAAAGTCTAACTCGACCCCGGTCATTCTGGCGGAGATAGCAAAGGAAGAAGGCCTGTAAGTATGGATATGTGCCGTCCAATCACAGCACAGTCATAAACACAAGCTTCCTGCTTTTACTTTCAACACTCACTAAAGCACAACTACAGTGTCGTTCTAATAGTCAGTAAAATGCATCTAAATAAAAGTCTTCATGGTCAGTTTTTCAACAGAACTGCTCATTAATAGGGTATGGGTCCATGATTGGCAGCTTCAGTTCTAACCCCTAAACCTGCTCTCTCTTTAGGCTGATGATACACACACATGACTGAACGCTGACTTTCAAAATGACCCTCCTCCCTTTCTCCCAGTCTGTCTCTGTACAGAGGCTGGTTACCCGTGATCTCCAGTCTCTGCTGCTCCAACTTTGTCTACTTCTACACCTTTAACACGCTCAAGAGGCTGAATGCAGCGGGACAGATCAAGTCCAGACCTGGCAGAGACCTGCTCATGGGGGTCGCAGCAGGTAAATGAATGTACAGTGACGCTTACTGTAAATAATCAGTAATAATCAGTGTTGAGCAATTAATCCTGAAAGATTTTCAGTTCTCAAAGAAATAAAAAAAAGAAAAGTAACAAATGTTCACATGTATGAGTTTCATTTGACAAATCTCGTCCTAGTTCTAGTTCTAGTTTGCGTTAGTTATAAAAACAGCAGCTTTTTTGAGCTAATGATCAAGGCGATGTGTTCAAAAACAGTTTAGAGAGCTGACCGCCTGTTGTTCATGCAGGGGTGGTGAACGTGCTCCTGACCACGCCCATGTGGGTGGTCAACACCCGACTGAAGCTGCAGGGGGCCAAGTTCAGAAACGAAGACCTCCAGCAGACCCACTACAGAGGCATATTTGGTATGTGATATATTTTTATTTTTACACTCTCACAGTTCAGATGAGCTCTTCTTGTTTCTTCAGCGTTATCTAACCTTGCTGTGTCGGGGGGGGCTTTCCCTCTCAGACGCTTTCTCACAGATCATATCCAAGGAGGGTCTAGGAACTCTGTGGAACGGCACTCTGCCCTCCCTCATCCTCGTGCTCAACCCGGCAGTACAGTTCATGATTTACGAGGGCATGAAGAGGAAGGCGGGCAGAGGAGGGAAGAAGGTGAGGGGACTAAAGAAAGATATTGCAGTGTAAAATATGATATTTCAAAATCTACAGAAGTTCAGATCCAAGTCCAAAAGAGTGAGAAAGACAAACTTAAAGGTCTCATATTACCCTACTTTCTAACAGTTTAAATGAGTCTCAGAGCTCCCAAAACATGTGTCTTGTTCTAAATCCACTCTGATTCTGACCCCTCTGTTTCAGCCCTGCTCAGAACAGGCTGTTTCTGTGTCTGTAGCTTTAAATGTAAATGAGCTGTGTCTGACCACGCCCCCCTCTCTGGAATCTTTGTCTCCTTCTACAGATTTCCTCAGCAGAGATCTTTCTCATTGGAGCCATCGCCAAGGCCATCGCCACCACAGCAACATATCCTCTTCAGACGGTCCAGGCCATCCTGAGGGTAAAAGACACCTCGTTACCCAAAGTTTCACTGAGATGTCACAACAGAGTAGTTCCTGTTAGAGGATCTGATGTAGGATATCAAGTATTTTGTATCGTAATCTCCTTTAAACCGAGCAGCAACCTCTGGTGTTGAAAAATGAAGCCTGAGGCGGAAGTGCAAAAAAACTGCATTCTTCGAGGGTCTGCTTGAGGCTGGCCCCAGGAGCCATGGAAGTCACACCTCATTTTAAAAGGCCCTTCTGACATAGTTGGACTGTGGGTTGTGGGATTTCTTGTGGGATTTGTCGACTGTAACAAAAGTCTTGAGTCATGTGTTTATCTCGTACATGTTTAACTGTAGATTTAGAAAATGTAAAGTTAGTACTTAAAGTATATTGAGTGGTCTAACATGTAACTAATGATCAAATCATCATATATTGCTGACCATGCAGATATTAGAGGTGAAGTTTATCTTCAGACTCTTATATCAAACAATGATCACACCTGAATAAATAAGGTGAACCTGCTGTGTGCTTCTCCAACAGTTCGGACAGTACAAAGGTGACGGCAAAGGCGGCGTTATCGGAAGCCTCTCGAGCATTTTCTCTCTGCTCATGGACAGAATCAGGTGAGTGAGGTCATGAACAGAAACATTTTCACACAAAGAGCACGCTGCTGTGGATGTCGTGATTGCAGGTGGCTGATAAACACCTCTTCCCTCTCTAACAGGAGGTATGGGGCCCTTGGTTTGTACAAAGGCCTGGAGGCAAAGCTGCTGCAGACGGTGCTGACGGCTGCACTCATGTTTGTCGTGTATGAGAAGATCACGACTGCTACCTTCAAAGTCATGGGCCTGAACAAGAAACTGACGCACTGAATGAGTTGAGAACAGCAGTAAGTACATTTGTCTTCAGCAGGTAAAAAAAGAAAAGAAAAGAGAATGCCACTTTGTTTGTGTCACAAAAGCGTTAATAAGAGATGGGATTGGTGCCTTTAAATAGCCACAGATTCCCACATTCACCCCAAACATGCAGCAGAACCAGGTCAGCGTGTAATGCCTCTAATGCCCTGTTTTTTTCTTAACCTTTTGTTTGGTTCTTTAAGTTCAGAGTGACCTTAATATTTATCCGCTGGGAATTCTCGGTGGAGATTGTCCCAAGCACTTAATAGGAGCTCTAAACTGGTTTGATTTTTGGAGGTAGAGGAAAGAAAATGTGTTTCACAGAGTCCAATGAGGCTGTGAAAATGTAATTAACCCTCATTTCAGCTGAAATCCCAGACATATGAAGTTTGAAAGCAGAGCTGAAGAGGCTCCATTTTGAATGAAATGGACAATATCGGAGGCAAATTAATATAGGAACTCTTTAAATTTGAACTAATGTTGTAACAAAAGAATTTAAAACCAGTTGCTTTGGGAGAGAAAAAAAAACATTTTTAAAGGAAAAGTTAAATGTTTGGAGAAAGAGAAAAAATCCCTTCCCGTAAAGAGTTCAAGTTATGAGAGACTAATAATAACGCTGTCATTTTGTAATTGTTTTTTAATGCTAAGAGATTCAATCTAACCTAGTCAGCAGCAGGATCGCTGGTGGCACAGTAGTTAGTGCGTGCGCCCCATGTACGGAGGCTGTAGTACTCCAAACGGGCGGCCCAGGTTTGAATCCGACCTGTGGCTCATTTCCCGCATGTCATTCCCCACTCTCTCTCTTCCTGTTTTCCTACTCGATCCACTGTCCTATCTCTCCAATTAAGGCATAAAAAGCCCCAAAATAAGTCTTAATAAGTTAAATCTTTCTTCGGTTAATTTGTACAAAAATCTGTGAAACCATTGATTGTATATAAAGACGGACGATGCATCCCTACCTCCCCTCTATTGTACAAAAAATGAAGCCAAAATCCCCCCCGAGGGGCTTTTACATATTGTGCTGGTGATGTCATTTGGAGCCAGAGGCCGTGCAGGAGCGACTGCCCTGTGGAGCCTTGGAATCGATGATCTTCCCCTTCTGCTGACCTAAGCATAAATTTCACTCGCACATAAAACGGTAAAGATCCAGCATTAAGGGGGTGGAGCTTAAGTAAGGGGAGCCCCTAATCTTTGGCTTCATTTTGGGGAAAAAACCGGCACGTCGTCCATCTTTTTATACAGTCTGTGGTTGAAACTAGGAGGGTTTGCAGCTGTTTTCCTAATATTATTTTTGAAAACAGGAATGAATTCGTCCTGACTAAGAACCAGCTGTTTCTCCGTCACTAGCTGTTGCTAACAAAGATCGGTCAGCCAGCTGAGATAGCTAAAACGCTCCTGACACACGAGTGGTATCAATATTCTTATCTACATTTTCAACAACAAAGGGCACAAGTGATTTCCCCTAAAATGTGGCTTTTGCTTTAACATAAAGCAAAGGCCAACGAGGCGACTTCATTGCTTCTGGACCATTCTCCTCAATCCCTGTTTAATGTGTTTACTGCTAATGTAACGGAGGTGAAAGGAAACCTCATGAAATTCCAGCCAGATCAGAAACATGTTTTAATGTGCAGACTTATGAACTCTTTATTACACACACAGTAGCTGTAAGAATAAGGCTAACAGTGCAGCTCTCCCATTAATATGTATGAAACTGTGTGTACAAAGTACTTTTTCAGCCGTATGGTTTGAGTTAAACAATTTTAAAACATGAATGAAATAGAAATGGTAATAAGTACTTAACCTTAAACACTAAGTGAACAAATACTGCAGTGGGTACAGTGTACCATAAAAACCTGAACTATGATCTGCTGTTAGTGCTTTTATGACTGTCGATGATTTACACAAACTCATGCTACACTTAACTGTGCACCGTACTCATGATTGTATCGGTCTGTAAAGAGTTTTTGTCATGCAGTGTCTTCCAGTATACATACCTCTGCATCCTGTTCTGTGTGAGATAGCGAGGGCTTGAAGTTATTTACAGTATTTGTTTTTTATTACAGCGATACTTGAATGTAAGTTTCTGCTGCCTTAAAACGATTTAACGGTTGATTCATTCCTTTTTGTTGCTGTGAAAATGTTTGGTTGATGTCTTAATATGCACGTTTTACTCATGTTAAATCTGACTTTGTAGCATCAGCCTTAAAAAGGTCGTAGACTTTGGACTGTTCGGTGCATCAATGGCCTCCTTAGTAACTGTCACGCTGTGAAAGGAGACATGACATCACTTACCTGATGTGGGCTTCACCTGTTTTACAACATGCCTCAGGTGAACCCGATGATCTAAAAGTCTTTGGTTTGTGTTTTAGTTATTCAGGCCTGATTCAGACTGTAATGAACCAAGTGTGAAATAGGCATGAACAGGACATGACGATAAGTCAGTGTGGCATTATGACCAAATAATCTTTGTCTAATGATAACTGTACTGTGTTGACTTCTGAACTCAACGCTTTGTAATAACAGAGGACAAGGGCAGTGGAAAGCAGTTTGTGAGATACGATCTTGGAAATGTTGTTGACCTGAAAATGTTTTGTAACCGCTGATCAAATACTTACTTGAAGTCATTGTCTTTTATTGATATCATGAATTTTTTTTTAACACTCTTTCCTCTTTTGTTTGAATTGACAGAGTATTGTTTGGGCTTTAAATTATTGTTATAACAAAAGAATAATAAAGTGTGACCAAAAAAAAACAAAACGCTTGAGCTCTCTTCAGTGATTTATTTAAAATCTCCACATGCAGGTAACGTTGTCACCGCTGAACGAATAAAAGACAAAAAATGCAACCAGAGGAACATGTAGTAGAACATCAGTGGGACACAATGTGCAACAAATCCACAGAGTTTGGTAAATACTCCTCCATTGGAGGCTGAAATGAAAAGTCACAGTTGGTCTGTATCTTGTAAATCAGGACTGATGCTGTTAGTCTTGACTTCTGGTGATCCCCTCCAAATACCACCGAGGCAGAAAGGAGTACTGGGAGTCTCTGTGGATGGAGAAGGTCACATCTCTGTGGGGCTCGTAGCAGAACAGGTACACCACGCTGGAAGGGAGACAAAGGAATCAGCAGCTGAGTCTCATTTCAGGGGTAGCATCCTTCAAAGGACACAGTCTTTATAGCCTGTGTGGAGCGAACTGAATCGAGACGGTCTACCAAAGATTTCCAATTTGCCTCACCAGCTGCCGCCACTGTCGCCTAGCAACCTCAACAGCAGCACGTGATCGAGCTAATGTAACTTCACCTTCATTTGGAGGTTCAGGGCTCCTCGTGTTTTTGGTAGCTAATGTATTTGTTTCAGTTGAAACCAGTCACCTACATTTAAAAGTGACGCACTCAGCCGCTTTAAAGTCTGACAGCTCGTTCGAATAGACATGCAATGAATCTCAGGATACAATATGTTAGGCCACAGAGGAACCTTTGAAGGAGCCTTCAAAATGGGACATCCTTCAACAGGCCACTGAGACTTAATCGGCCTTCAAATGCGCCCTCTGAAGGATGCAGTCACTAAACTGGACCCAGCCTTTAAAGCTCCTGTGATGAACTCTCAATTTGCGTTGATTTTGGCGCCCCCTGTGGACAAAGCTACATGTCTTTTTCCTTTTTGCTGATCATGTGTAAGAAGTATTTTCTGGGTAAAAAAGTAAATCTCCTGACTTTTGACAGTCAAACCGATCACTCACTGTGGATCTTTGCCGTGGAAAATGTCAACAAAGGTTGTTTCTGCGACAGGATGTTACTCACTTGGTCTGACTACCTACCGACCAGCAGCCATTAAAGGCCTTTAAACTTCAAAGAAATTAACAATCTTGATGCTCACGTCTTGTTTTTTCTTTTTTAAGTCATATAGAAGCACAAGTTTTAATTTCAGTCTGTCACATAACCATTTTAAAAGTCCTCACAGGAGCAAAACGTATGCAGCCTAACTGAACAACAAACTCACCTGGGATTGTCTTCAGTAGCTGTTTGCTTCACAAACGAGAGGAAATCACAGCAAAAGTTCATACACACTGTCGGCTTCCAGCAGTTGTGTTCATTCTGTCCAGAAGAATAAAGAAGACAGAATGTGCAAACTTAACATATAATATAGTGATCTTGTAATTGTGCTGCGTTTTCAGTGAGCAGCTGTTTGTTTCTGCTAACATCTTCTCTGTACCTTGATGAGATGTGACATCTTAGAGATGGGAAAAGTCTCCACACCGACGACCACTCCTTCATGATCCCTGAAACCGGCCACAACCCGAGGGACCCCGGGGAGAAAAGACTGAGCCCACCACTTGATCAGTTTGAACCTGAGGAAGGCAAACATCCCTTGTTAATAAATCAGATATCCAACCAGGAGAATGTCATGAATAAGTGAGCGACGTGAGGTTTCACTGTTTCAGCATTTCACCTGTGGAAGTTGCTGCGTTGTTTCGGGGTGCAGATCTCCGCAGAAGTCTTCAGCTCGACATAGCACGCAGGAGCAGCCGGAGCCTTTGGGTCTTTATCCCGGCAGTCCACCTCCCCGGAGAACAGGAGTCTGTGATCCGCAAGCCGAGTTTGTACCACGGTGCAGAAGGCCTCATTAGTGTTCACCACTCCGCCCGGGTCAGGTGAGCTGTGGACGTCATCTGCAGGGAAGGTCAAAGGTCAACATCTGCTTATGAGATGAGATGAGATTCAACTTTATTGTCATTACACATATACAAGTATAGAGTAACGAAATGAGGTTTGGCATCTCACCAGAAGTGCAAATAAGCAGAAAGTGCAAGAGTCTGTGCTATGTACAGTAATTACAAAATTTACAGATGTAGACTAAAAAAAGTGAATTATTAGGTATATCTGGATGGCTGGATTAATGGGATGCTATAAATATAAATAAATGCTATAAATAAGTAATGCTATAAATATAAGTGTATTCTTGGGATTATAATATACAGATTAAGGTGCAGTGAGCATGCTATACTAATAATATACAGATTAAGATGCAGTGAGCATGCTATACTAGTTTGCAGATAATATAAAGAATATGGACATAATATGAACATACTATAATACAATAGTATACTATAATACAATAATCACAGCATTTGATTCTAGTTTGTGGTTCAAATGTAACGAGACAAAACTGGAACGTATGAAACCCCAAGACTAGTGACAGTAATGATAAATAATGAACACTGCAGGCCAAAATTATGTGGAAAAAAACTGAATTTGAAGTAAAAATTAAATAAAAAAAATTAACTTTTACATCAAAATCATAAGTGAAACTTGTGAAAAAGCGAACAAGACCATCCACATGAATATTGACTAGTTCTATCTGATTATTTTTGAAGCCTAAAAGCCCTGTTAGGGGGTAAATGTGAGACAAAGTCATGAACGCATGCTACACAAACAACATGTTTGACATTTTCAACGACAAAGATTCTTGGTGATTGAACCGCCGGACGAGGTGGTTGATAAACAGAATGAAATGATCATTCATCTGTAATCAAAGTTTCGAAGGAAAACAACATTTTCTTTAATCCTCTGAACGGACCAACCTGCACATGTGTACTGCTCAAACTTGTATCCCCAGTACATCATCTCTTCATGCCTCCCGGTGCGGCTCTCTCGATCCCGTCGCGCAGCCTCTGTTTCCACCTCGCTGATGTACAGCGTGCCCCTGAACCGTGTGACCGCCAGCAACCAGCCCTCCCGCGCCTCGTAGGGGGTCGTCAGAAGCTTAGTCAGGTGGCCGCGCCATGTCACAAAGTCCACATCTAAAGCACTGCGAGAAGGGGGAGGTCGATTAAAGCATATGATTCAGACAGGTAAAGCAGGTGGCTGGTAACTGTGACCAGGAAGTGACAACATGAAAAGCACAAAAACAGTCAGAACAGTAAAAACAAGGTGACACTCACCATGATTTGTCCGAGGTCACCTTTGAGCTGAGCTTTGATTTATTTGCTAAGATCCACCGCAGGATGTGGTCCAGCTTCTCCTTCACGCTGTCGTCTCTCTTTATAAAGCGATCCCTGTATCCATCCCTTAGATCGAAATTCGGCGTTCTGTCCGGTTCCACGTAGTACCTCAACTGTCGGCTGTCGTTGAAGAATCTACGCTCTGAGTCGAGGGAGAAACTTCCCACCTCCACGGGCTGTTTGTACACGGGAAAGTCTCTTTCATACAGTTCTCTTCTGGTGCTCAGACACCGGGAGCTGAGGGGGTTTGGCCCAGGAGTCGGCCCAGACTGCTCGTGGTGCTGGTGGTTTGGTCTGAAGTGTTTGCTCTCACAGTGACTTCTTCCACTGGCCTCTCCTTCTTTTTGGTATGCTGAACGCCGTTTCTGGTGGTGATTGGAGTTAGGATGGTGAAATTTTTGGGAGTCCATTGCTACCTAGTTCTAAATAAAATTAAAAAAATGAAACAGGTAAATAACTGTCATTAGTTTTTTTTAAGGATAGATCAGTCAGTCTCAACATCTTTCTCAATATAGCCAAAACACAGGAAAGATTAGATTTATGTCAACCAAAACTATCCAAGTTTCACTGCTGTATGATCTTTCTTTTCTCCAAAGAGCTGTCATTGATACCTTAAGATCTCCTCAGCCATTCTATTGGCATGTTTTCTTTAATCTTTCTCAATATGTTGTATGCACATGGTTTGTACATTTTCTTACTTGTAAACGCCATGCTGTGAATATTTACAATTTACTTGGTCAAAGTTTTGCATATCCCTGCCAAGGATTCTTTCCTGCATGTTGTTACCCTCTCTCTCTCGCTCTCTCTGTATGTTTATTTATTTCATCATATCCATGGGCTTGTATAAAGTAGTTTTGAGGTTTTTAATGTTCAGTTTTAGGTATTGTTAAGTGTGTGTGCTAATTTAGTCTTACATGCCCTTTGTTTTAATGTAGTATGTCAATGTGTTTGTCTGTACATGTGAATAAGGTAAACACATGGTCACATTCCTTGTGTGTACCCACATACTTGGGGATCATTTTTCTTGCTATTTTTTTTTATTCACCAAAATACCAAAGCATACTCCTTTGTGGAAAAAAACCCACTGACTGTTCATCTTTGAAGCAGAAAATGTCAACAAAGGCTGATTCAGAATTGCAGCGCTTACAGGCATTAAATATAATAGCAGTGAAATGATCAATCTTGTTGCTGATGGTTTTGTTTACTTGTTCTGGTCACAAATATTGATTCCAGTCTGTTTCATTACCAGCTAAAGACTCTTCATAGTAGCTTTATTTTTGTGTATTGTGCACACAACAAAAACCTTTTATTTGTGTTTCTTAAGCCTCATAACTATCTGTGGTGTGTTAATATGAAGTCAGACTTGTCAGTAATGTAAAGATGTAAAACGTGTTGTAGGTCGTGTCTGCGCTGCGGTGTGAAACATGTACACGCTTGTTTTTATAAATGTCTCCTTTGCTTTGCCAACGAGCGTTTTCTGTCATATTATTTAAACTACCAAATGAAAAAATAATAAACCTACCACAGTCAGCATACACAAGAAAAGTAGCAAACGTCAGCAAACGTCATCCCATTAGTAAACACGATTTCACGAAAAGATTTCACGTAGCTACATAGCTAGCGAATGCTCACAACAAACACAATACTACTTCCGCATGCAGTTCCTCAACCGGCCGCTGAGTGACAGCAGAGAGAGAGAGAGAGAGAGAGAGAGAGAGACTCACACCTGAGAGGCGACGAAGAAGAAGACGTTTAAAGTTGTTTGTTGCAGCTGCTCAGTAAACTGGTTATTTTTAAACAGGACTGAAGTTATGTTCGGCTTGTATGACTGATAAAACTCGAACAGGTGAGAGTTCATGAGTTATATGTAATTTATTATTGTATGTATTTTCGTCTTATATTCTTGTATTTGTTAAATGTTCATGAAATCTGCGTTAGCTGGCTAGCTGGATTAGCCAACAAGAGCAACAAACCAATGAATGAGCCATGAACCCTACACCTAAACCTCGTGTTGAAATGTGTGTATGTCATCAAAAATGTGTTTTCCCAAGTTGCTATGTTGGTTTAAAAGCTTGAAAAGAAAATTTAAGTCAACTATATCCCGGTCATAGTTAAATGTGCTAATGAGACTCCTGTGGGAAACGCTGTTGTCACACTAATGGAGCAGAAGCTGTTTAATTTAACAACCTTTAAAAGAGGAGTAGGATCACTTAATTTATGAGGGGTAGTTTTATATAAAAGTCAATTTGTTAAATTATGGCTGCTGATTTGAGTTGAAAAAGCAGCTGCCTGGTTGAACAGGTGAATGTCATGTTGTCTCTGTCCTCCAGGTATGAACAGGAAACGGGCTCTGATTTCAGACACTTTTAAGTTTAAGAAAAGAAGAAATGGCCCTGAGAAGTTTGGAGCTGTCAGTGAAGAAAATGGTAAGTGAGAGCTTATAAGCTATTCAAGTTATTTTTGTCCAATCTTATAATTCTACAATTCACTTAGCAGACTCTTTTATCCAAAGCGACGTACATCAGAGAGTAAGAACAACACAAGCAAGGAGCTAGAAAAAAGGAAACAATGTCAGTAAGAGCAAACGATCAGCTTTGAGTCTGATTGGACACACAGGTGCTGACAGGAAGTGACCAGAGGCAAAGCACAACATTGAGGGCAGTTCTTGAGAGCTCTAATCAGTATAGAAACCATCTTATCAAACAAAAACCATCGTCATTACCATCATCATCATCATCAATAATATGGAGACCATCATCATTAAGTTAGTAGGTATTCAGGAAAGAGCTGGTTCTTTAGCTTTTTCTTAAAGATGCAGAGGGACTCTGCAGATCCAATGGAGTTTGGAAGTTCATTTCACCACCGGGGGGCGACAGAGGAGAAGAGTCTAGTCAGCGTCTTAGGACCCTGTTGTGAAGGTTGGATCAGACGTCTTTCATTGGCAGAGCGTAGTGGGTGGGAGGGAGTGTAGACCTGGATGAGAGAGTTAAAGTAAGGAGATGTTTTTGTCGCTGTTTTGTAAGCGAGCAGCAGAGTTTTGAATTTGATGCGAGCAGTAGCTGGGAGCCAGTGTAAGGAGATGAACAGCGGAGTGACATGTGCTCTTTTAGGAAGGTTGAAGACCAGTTGTGCTGCTTATAAGGGGATGTAAATAATGTTTCAACTATTTCTACCCCATAAAGGACCAACCAACATCAGATCCACCCTCGAGTACCTCATGACATTGTTCCCCAGGAAGCTCTTCAACGACACTTTGCCTCAAATTGTTTTCAAGCACCAGCTCTACAGCATACACAATGACAAGACTTTGGTGGATAAGGAGCTGGTGAGATATAATCATTGTCAGAAACGTCATGTTTTCATCTTTCTAAATGTAAAAAAACACAACTCACTGTCCTTATTGTGCACAACAGAATAAACTGCAGGAACACGGAGAGCTGCTGATGTTCCAGCTCGGGTTTCATGCGGAAGCTTTCGGGCTGATTTTTGCCTCAGATTATAAGGCCAAAGTGCTGGCTGGAGAGGAGGGCAGAGTGACAAGAGCCACGGTGGAGAAGTTCTTGGAAAAAGTGGTGTCTTCTTGCACAGATCTGAGCTTCAGCAAAGACAAGATGCTCAGGGAGTTCCTCTTCACAGACTCTGAAATTACGTAAAGAACTACCCCAACCTATCTTTTGTTGTGAACATTTATTTGAATAACTTCTACTTTAAAACAAAATCTGTTTCATAAAACTAAAGCATGAATAATCTCATCAAAACAAATTCATTTGATGTAAAATGACCTTTTGAATTGCTTTAACTGTGTCTTAGGTTTTTAAGATCTTTTCTCTTGTTTGATCAGTGAGTGAAAATACTAAGATGTCACACCAAGACTGAAGCACATACTTTATTTTCTCACCATCTAGGCAGTTGGTTAAGTCCGGAGTCCTGACTGTGAGGGACGCCGGCAGCTGGTGGCTGTCCATCCCCAATTCTGGAAAATTCACAAAATACTTTCTACAAGGTGGGTGTAAAGAAAGCCAAAGACATACTTTAGAGTTTCTACAGCCCTAATAGTTTCCAATCTCTACGCAGATATTTGACAGTAGCTTGCTATTGACAGTTCTGTTTTCTTTTGCCACCTTTTTAGGTCGTAAAGCCGTGCTCGGCATGGTTAAGAAGTCCAAATATAGTGAGGTCCTAAAGGCAGAGTTGGAGGAGCGGCGAACAAACTCACAAGTGAAATTCCACATGAAATACCACATCCACGACATCGTTGGTGCAGAGCTGGTAGAAAGGTAAGCGTTTGTTCTTTCGTTTGTTGATTCTCAGTAGAGCTGTGGTGTAACTTATATAGCCTACATGCTAAATGTCTGTTGTTACTAAAACTTTTTTAAAAAACAGCACGGTTCATCCCCTTGTATCAGAAATTGTACTTTACTATGTACTTTACACAGCTATAACTTGTTTTCTTCACAGTATACCCACAACATCAGGAACTTTGTTGCGATTTGTTGACTCCTGAATGACAGCAACAGGACGGGCTGGTCGGTTCTCGATCGAAGCCAGTGAGCGACTGAAGACGAAAGATGCATTAAATGTACAAAGATCGTTTGTATGAGAACTAATACTGAATTAATTTAAGTTTTTCAGAATTTGATTCTGTGCCAAATGTATTATTTAAAACCTTGTAGGTTTATGACTCGTCAAATATGTTGACATGACCGTGTCAGGTTTTTGATTTATCTTGTAATAAAGATGACTGTTGAACATTTAGATTTTTTTTTAATTTAGGACTACTTTCATTGTAAAACTATACAAGATTAACCACAACTATTTTTAGACTGTTTATTTTGGGGCTTTTGATGCCTTTGTGTAGAGACGGCAGATAGAGTATAATGAGACCTTTAATGAACCAGAATCTGTTGTTCACAGTTCTCACTCATCAGTACCTCATTGGATTCTTAGTATTTGAAGTGTTGAGGGGAAAGAGGAACAAATAGACAGAGTCTGTTTTACTTGATTTTATTGGCTTTTTCAAAAAGTGACAACAGCTTTCATCCATAAAACTAAAGAGTCACAACATTGGCTTGAATTAAAGCACAGCTTGATGTCTGAATACATTACAGATGAGCAACATGTACTTAACCCCCTGATCTAGTAGTTCAAATACATTTTGTAAATAGGCAAAAAATATAACTGTAGCATTCTATTCTTAGTTTTCAGTATATGTTGCACATACATGCTATCAGCATTAATTACAAAAGCTAGGCTTGTATGGAGATTAAGGTAGCGTTAACTGTAGAGGTAATAAACAAAGGATATTCATAGTGTTAGTTAACAATACAGTGAGCGAAGTGGAACTTCTGTGAAGAAAAAATACAAAATAGTCAAATCACAAGATTATAACAAAAAGATGAGTACACTGTATACTACACCAGAACCGACAGTAGCTCTCTTACAAGCTGGTGTAAATGCTCTTTTTTTTTTTAAGAGACATTGCTTAGCCAGTAGTGATGCTGTTAGAAATCTAAATGTGCTGCACAAAAGGTTGTTGATAAATGCCCACAGAGCATTAAAGGTGCTCTTGTTCCCCACCACCTAAACAGTTCTAATCTGATATCTAATAAAGTTTTCTGCACACCGGGGCAGCCACACAGTTGAGACACTTCGGGGGAAAGAAAAATAAAATACCGTGAACCTGACAGGTTGAAGCCAAACACATAAAATACTGGGATCATTTCGATTCATTGGGGGTAATTAATAGCACTGTTGGTGTCCAAAGATCTGTTCCCAGTCTACATTTTTCAGCACATCCCAGTTGTCAATCACTCCACAAGAATGGAGAGTTAGGAATCATGTGCTTGGACTGAAAGCAAACTGAGTGAAAAAAAAAACTAATCCAGGGCGAAAACAAAGAGCTTCACAGATGGTTGCTTTGAGTTCCTTGTTGACAGTGCGATGACACACGACAGCCCTCGCAAAAGGAAAGTGAAAATTCATTTTAAAAATTGCTGAGATTGTGGAGCTGAAGAAATAAAGCAGCACACAACAGCAAACTGTCGGCTGTATTTTGAAGGTTCAAGACAAAAGAAACGAAACTTATCTTTTCCTGCTTAATTACAGCACGTCTGCAGAACGTATTTGGCAATATTTCTTCCATTAAAAGAACAAACAAGACTGTAAACAAAACAAAAAAAAGAGATCAACAACCAGTGGAAGAACAAATTGAAACATTCCACGGTCCTTTTTTTTTTTTTTTTTACAAAAACATCCAATCTATTTTAGAAGGCCTCGAGGATTGCATTTGACTTGTCTATACAGTATGTGTTGTTGGGAAAGGACAAGGGTCTGAAATCTAACAACCCTCTCTCCTTGTTCTGACCCTATGTGACATTTTCAATGGAAATGAGCGATATAACTGCTGTAGCTACACTAATGGAAGGAGACAATCTGAAGTACATTGTTTTCTGGTGTATACTGGTGTGTTTCTCCTGCATGTTTCTTTAGCCACCCTCACCACTACCGGTTATGTTCCCCTGTCAGCGTGCCAGCAGAGGGAGTCTTAGAGGAGAGTGCACTTCTTGCGCTTCTTCTTTACGGGCTGAGGGCAGAGGACGGCCCGGATGGCCTCGTCGAACACGGTTTTAAGGCCACGCTGAGTCAGGGCTGAGCACTCCAGGTACTTGACAGAACCTAAGGAAACCGTACAATAAAAATATTGAGTCAATATTAATTTCAAAAATACTTCAGCAGAAAGACTCAATAGGTTTCAAACGTGTTCTCTTACCTATCTCCTTAGCCATCGCTAGTCCTTGAGGATATGTGATTGGCGAGAGTTTCTTCTCCCTCAGCTTCTCTATTGTGTCCTTGTCATCTCTTAAATCCAGCTTGGTGCCCACCAGGATTATGGGAGTGTTGGGACAATGGTGTCTCACCTCAGGGTACCACTGCAGAGAGACCACAGCACTGAGGAGTTAGCACTGTCACTTTCTCTATTATTGTGATTTCAGTCATTTAGGGGCAGCACAAAAAGCTGTTAAACACATAAAAACATGAAGCAGAGAGAGGAGCGCCATCGATCTCTGTGATACCAGATATCCTGATTTAACTTCAAAGCTGGCTGCCTTTCCTACTAAACTTACTCTGACACAATCCCCAGTTACTGTAAAATTCTGAGAATGAGACACACTTTTACTTTTTTACTGATTTCTATTCATCTAAAAAGTGGACTGTGTTATCTATACCAGTGTGACCAATATACCAGTATTAAAAGTGAAGAGAGCTTCATCATGGCCACAGACATGCACTGTCATGACCGCAGGTTCAGCCGCCCCGCCACCATCACCTGCTGCTAATGAAAATTCGCCCTTGGTCATTGTGTTTTGCAAGCAGCCGCTTGGCTGTGCCAAGTGTGTTGGGATAGATAGTCATTTGGACCAGGCTGGCAGCACCACTTCTTAACTTCTTTCTCTCTCAGGAGGTCATAATCATGCATTTAAAAATATTGGTATACATACTGTTAGGTAAATAAACCTTTGGGAGCATTAGTTTGACTGAACAGACTCCTGAATTTAAGACCAGCAGTGACCAGTGGAGGTAGGCAGCGCGGCTCTAGGTGAATTGTTGGTGGGCTGTGGGTCTGTGCTTCACTGCTATCAAAGTTACCGTAGGCTGAGAGCTAACTAACTAACTTACAGGTAGCTAGCAGGAATGCATAAAAATGGTCACGCAGGAAGACATCATAAACCTTTTTATGGTCTTGATAAAAAGGACCATTTGATGGTAAGTGAAGTCTCAGTAGAGTCTCCTAAAGTTGTAACTTTGGCATACATACCCTCCACCAGACATGTTAACAAGACATAATATACTAATAAAGAAAAGCATGGCAGATTTATGCTTTGACGTTGAAACACACACCCTTCAGCAGAAAAAAAACTACATAAACTTATGAATCTTTAAAGATCTAAAACATCCTTGATGGAAAAACTTCAAAGGGTTTACATCCCATTTCCTGAAACTGGTCCATGTCTTTACAACCATTAACATACATGAAACCAGTTTAAACTCACCTTGGCTCGGACGTTTTCAAACGAGGCAGGACTCACGAGTGAAAAGCAGATGAGGAACACATCCTGGTGAGAAAAAGAAAACAGGACAATCAGCGCCCATGATGACTATCACTTCCTTTTGAGGACACCCAGCTCCTGCACGTCTGTCTGACAAAAAGGTGTGGTGTTTTTCTTTTCCTCTTCACTTCCTTCGTTATTCCAGGCACCAAAACTTCCTAAAGTGATTATGTAAGAGCGCCACCATCATCAAAAGAATAACAATAGGGGTGTTTCTGTTGTATACCGTCTGTGGGTAGGAGAGTGGGCGGAGTCTGTCATAGTCTTCTTGTCCTGCTGTATCCCAAAGGCCCAGGTTCACGGGTTTCCCATCGACCATAACATTGGCAGAGTAGTTGTCAAAGCTGATGGAGAATGAGAATGAAGATCAATACAAACTGATTTAATATGAATCCTTATTCATCTGTTAAACCCGTATGCCTTTTCAGATCTTTGAAATGACTCATCACTTTATTTTCTCCAAAAACAAAACCTAGATTATCATCTGCATGCTGAGCCAATCTACACCACACACACAGTGAAACAGATTCACATAGTTTAAATAACCGATCGAGCTGATCAGACGGGTAGGGGGTTTCCTCAGAAACTTCCAGCATTATAATCTTCATTTATAGTTACAAGCGCACAGCAGATGTTTGCATTCAGACTGGTCTGCAAGAAACTAAACTTTCTTCTACGGCCACTTTAACCATTCTGAGGCCGACAATATTAAGCGACTGTTACAGGATGTATTTAATGGTCAAATAGCATTTCATTGGAGTTTCATTGTATAAAACTAGCAGTTCTCTTTGACCAGCAGAGTGTGCTATATGGATTACAACAAGCATTATCACTCTCCAGAGTGTCAGGCGGTGATGCACATACATGCGCAGTCACTTTTCAGTTGAGTGACCATCTGTTCTTCATTACATATCTTTTCCACATATGTTGGAGAACTGCATTTGAGAGATCAACGCAAGTGGTGTGTACATCTATATCTATTTTTATTTCTATAGATCTAAGAACGATATCAGCCCATATATATATATATATATATATATATCTCTCTCTGTATCAGATTTTCTCTCTCCCTAATATTAGTATCATATCGGACCCAAAAATCCCATACCAGTCGGGCCCTACAAAGACTGAGACAGATGACAGATTCTTGTCTTACATGAAGGGATAAGTAATGACTAGATACTTACACAGTGGGGATGTACTCTCCAGGAAAGGCATTGGTGGTGTAGCTGATGAGGAGGCAGGTCTTACCCACAGCACTGGAAGGAAGAGGAACGGGAAAATGACATTTGTGTACATGCTCTGTATCATGGCTCCTTTAAGGATCAGGGTTTGGTGTCGTGTCGTGCATCACCAGCAGTACAGCTAAAACTCAATATTAATTTTAAAGGTTGTTTTTTTTCCATGAAGCTTTGTTTCATGGATAAAATGGTACACTTTATATGTTGTCCAACCCATTAAATAAACAGCAAAAAATAAACATCTGAGAAGTTAGAAATTGTGATCTTTAGCATTGAAGAGATCTTTACTGTCACAGTAATGTCTCAGAAATGTTGTATTCTGACTTTCTGAGATTGCTATTTATTAGTAATCAACCAACCAATTACTCCAGCTTTACTAAAGCCTAAAAGTAAAATATGGACACTCTTACTTCTCTAAAATCCAAATATGACCCTTAAGATATGAACTCCATCTACTCTGAGGGCAATACAATCCCATCCAGTGCAGGGCATTGGTAATACTAAATGAATAATAAATCAAATACACCCAAAGACACATGAATGACTGTGTTCCTGAGGTATCCACCACACCCTGAACAAGGAGTTATGCGTGTGTTTACCTCCCACATGCTGTTACACTTCCAAAAGCCTGTCTTTTGCTCAACACTAGTAATCATTTTAACAATCTTTAGCTGGCAGCAGACGACTTGAGCACTTCATTATTTTCATGTGGAAAATAACATCTCATTTCACAACAAATCACATCAGTGCAACGAGGGTCGCAATAAAACCGCAACTTTAATGAGTGAAATGTCTGAGTTGATCAGTGAGTGGAAATGAAACAGTGGTTAAGATGGCCAGTGATGTCTGACTCACCCAAGAGGGAGGAAAACACAGTTAGCCTTAAGTCAAAGATTAGCCAACCACTTGTACACTAGCTGTGGTGTAATGTCACAATGTGTCGTAGCAATAACCAACCCTGTAATATCATATGATTAAAGACACACGAAGGGGGGAAAAACCGATTAAAGTTAAGTGAATAAGGTTCATGTTACATAAACAGGTAGTTAAAGTTGAAGTTTGCTCTATAGGTATTATCTGAAGCAGCTTTAATGTTAGCTAGTCTCATAACATTTACATGTAAGTTAAGTACAGGGTGGGGGGCACAAACCTGTAGTTCTGTTCAACTTACCCGTCTCCGACAACGACACACTTTATGGCCTGCATTGCGCCGCAGCTAGAGGAATGCTAAGTTAGCCCGGGAGGAGCTAGCTAGCTCAGGTTAGCTCACAAGTCTCCCTTCCTTTGTCCGGGAAAGCTCGCTGTGGAAACGTCCCAATAAGCGCTTCAATAAACGCCTTTCGACGGGCCGACGGAGCGCCTGGGGTTTAGGAACAACTTGTGGTGGACTTACAGTAACTTATCAATCACTTAAACACAAGTTCACTTAGAAATTCCCTCGCAACATTCCCATGCTTTCGTAGGCTGATCTGGAAGCTGTGAAGCAAAACAGCGGCCACCACCCCTAAGAGAGAAAAAACATGAAGCTGGCCTCCAGCAGATGGTGCATCCGGTGAGCTGGACTGATACGCCCACGAAGTCTTTCACGATCTCTAAAACCTCCTCAGAAAACACAGCCAATGTTGGCAAATCTATTCTGAACTACGAGAATGTAATAAGAACAAATATTATGAGAAAGCAGTCTTTTGAAAAGACAATTGGAACAAGGGAATGAAAAATAGCGAGTAAAACGGACTATTTAGACTGTGACACGGATTGTGGAAATGATGTCATATCTGTAACATATTTCAACCTGAACTTTACCATCAATAACTTAATATTTACAGCAACTTTGGTCACAGCAAGGGACACATTCATTTAATTCTCACTGCCAGAGGGCCAAATTGTAGAATACAAAAACGATTACAGTCACTTTTGTCTCCAATTTAACTCACATACCAGTGATCAAATATTATTATGGACATATTCTGGTTTTCATGATCTCATGGCAGATTTAGTCATGTTTTCTTCATGTTTCCAATTAATTGATATATAAAAATTGACCTGAGGGCCACCTTGAGGGTTGATTGGGGCCGCATGTGGCCCCCGGGCCGCCAGTTGCCCACCCCTGATTTATTTAGGTCTATGATCAAGACCTAGTTTTTTTTAGCTCTTTGTTATTTTAATATGGTTTTTTTTTTTTTACTCTCACTTAAGCTATATTTCATGAACGTATAACAGAAACTACATTAAAATACTATGCCACAAAAATGTGTAATCAGTGACTTAACAAGATTTTATTTCATCATGATGATTATTTCAATAAAGTCAGAAATAAAGTTGAGAATGTAATGTAATACCATTAAAGCAGACTCACTGAAACAATCAACTTGCTATGGGTTAAATAGTCTTGAATCATCAAAATGCCATAAATAAAGCCTAGAGGGGAGCACTTGTATAACCTTAAAATGTTGATTGTAATGTAGATTATTAAAGGTAATAATCGTGATCTCAATATCACTCAGAATAAATGTGAAATCATGTTTTTGCCATCATCGAGCAGCCCTATGTGGTGAACTGTTAGACACACAACCACAAATCCACTGACAAGACTTAGGGATACATTTACTTAGTATTCAAATGTCACCATAATTAATATTCCAAACAATACCACAGAAGTTCAATACACTGTTTATATAAAATATTACTCTATATATTTTTTTAGAATTTCTCTTTTTGTTTGCTTTAATGTTGAATTGAATAATTGATGACGTTAAAAAAAATAAAAAATCTGAAGACAGGGTAATAAATCCATTGATGATACTTAACCATGGAATCTGTCTGGCTTCAGTGTTACAACTATAGAAAAGATGTTTCTGAGATTGAATATCTACATGACAAAATTGACATGTATCACTATCCAGATCCAACCTCACTCTTAACAAGTCACCGCATGCACACATATTCATTGTTTTTAAATGAACTGTTGTTGAGAATCATATGGTAAAGTTTGATGTGTTTTTGTGTTACAACACTTTGATTATAGGTAAATTATATTCACAAAATTATTTTTTTAAAGTAAGTCCACATTTTGCAGCATTAAAAATGACTTGTCTTTGAAAAAGTTGGGAAATAGAATTGCTGTGATGCTCTCTGAATTACTTGAGTTTTACAAGAATTAATTAATTAATTGCCCCCAATTTAATTTAAATTAATTAGATTTTGATACAGCCTAGTTATTATATATTTTTGTATTGTTGGTTTCTTGTCTGTTTGGTGCCTTTATATATATTTTGTTTAATCTATATGCCGCTCGCAGTTTAATTTCCTGTTTATTGAAAATGCTGAATAATGAACGAAAAAACAGAAGTCAGTCGATCCGCTTTGAACTTCCGGGTGTGTCACATCCTAATGTGTCCTCCCGCTGACGATCGAAACAGGAGTCGGTGGAGAAGCTTTCGGGGTGGAGCAGCTCTGCCAACACATCCAGCAGAGAAGTGAAAAATGGAGCTCGGTGTCAGGCAGCGGTAGAAACATGGACTGTCTCTCCTCGTCGGTTCTCCGCTCTTTCTGACCGAGTGACCGTACGATCCAGCGGGGCAGCCTCCGCCTGTATGGCGGGTCTGTCTTATTTAGTGCTCCGGTTTTCGGGCTCAGCTGGTCGGACTTACGGGGTGTTTTCTAAAGGCTTGACGAGGACTTTGTTGATATTTTTTGATCTCGCATGGCGACTGCGAATCAGATTCCCCTACATCTACCTTGTCGCGTCGATGATGTTCAATGTCAGATTACAGGTAAATGTATTTATTCATTCAAACGTGAACAAGGGAGGCTACTAGTTCAGTGTCCATGTTACCAGATGTGGAAAATCTCGTAGCGAACAGCTGATGACAAAAGGCCATTAATGCAGAGCTGGTTCAAACATGATGCTGTCTGAAAGCTTTTCATGTGTCGATCTTTTTGTTTATTCACTAAACGTAAACTAATATTATCAGTATAACCTTCATGTTAATGCTCAGCAGATGTCAATCAACCAACATCTGGCAGCATGTGTTGTTTTGTTCTTTTATTTACTTGTGCTAACAGGTGTTTTTAACATTTTCTTCTAAACAAGGGCTACTTTACTAAGTATTAGACCCAGTCTGTATTTAAAGCAATCAGGACAACAACCATGTTATTTTATTATCATGTATTAATCTGCCACATATTTGACTGGTCTTTAAAATATCAGTAAACAGCAGTTTACAGCCTACTGTTTGTCTAAAGCAGAGATCAGATACACTATTTTTGACTCAAGCATTGCCTGGATTATTTGATCTATTATCATTTTTCATTTTTCAATTATGATGTGTGTACGTTTTTTTAATTTTATTTAATGTACTTAATGAATTCCCAAGGGAAATTCCGCTTTTACACTCTGTTATTGAGACACATGCTTCTCACACACATGCACAAACAGGACCTGTGGAGAGATGTCAGAGTGGGGCAGCTGCACCCTGCAGCGCAGGGAGCGCAGCAGAGCGGTTGGGGGTTTAGTGCCTTGCTCAAGAGCAGTGGTTCTCAACTCGTCTAGCCTCAGGACCCACCACCAACTCCTCATGAAAAAATCGCGACCCAAATTTTGATTATTTTTTCATCCAATCAGAATGATTTAATGAAAAACTGGGCCGTTTTTGCATCTTCTGTCAAATGTTTTGTACCTCAGACGGTTCAAAACATCTGACGGAAGAAAGAAACTAAACAAAACTAACACGCTTAAAAAAGGTGCTTCACAGACTGTTTGAGACCAGGTTTTTTCCAGGCACACACTCACGACCCACTGAAAACAGCTCAGCAACCCCCAGTTGAGAGCCACAGCTCAAGAGCACCTCGTCAGTACTCGGGAAGTATCTGGCGCCTCTCCAGCTACCAGAACAACTTCCATATTATTCGTCCGCATCTGGACTTGAACATGCGACCCTCCGGTTCCCAACCCCATCACTTTGCAGTAATGTGTTGCCTGACTGCTTCCTCTTGTTTTCACAGGTGCACATAGAAATCCACTGAATCTTCAACTCCAGCGTTTGGACCGAGAATCGATAAACTGTGAGCACTGCCATGTTTCACACCTCAGTCTGACACTGCACAGCGATGTGCAGGAGGAGGAGGCTTGTTTCTCAGAGCAGGTGTTTAACGATGCAATGAAGTGACGAGGCTTGGTTGTCGCTTCCTGCGGTCGTCACCTGAACCCAGTGCCTTTGCAGTGATGTCTGCAAAAGTGAGCCACGGTGAGCAGTGATGGGTGAGACAGGGCCTCGACCTCACCTGTCTGGATGCCACCTGAGATTCAAGAGCCTGGTGTTGTGACCAGGAAGAGAGGGTCTGATGAAGGATGGATTTTCACACACCCTTTTTGTCTCTGGCTTTCAAGGACTTTGGCACGGTGTTGATCCTGGAAACAGAGGATTGTCACCGTGTAGCTTTGTAGATGTTCCTCAGTGTGACATATGTTTGTTTATGAAGCGCTCCGTGTAAACATCTCACTTTAATTTAACAGGTACATTTGTAAAACGCATGACACAAACACGCATGTTTTCTGTCCTCTGTGGCATGGACACTTTACTTGAAGTTGGGGTTAGCCGTGTCAGCGGTACATTGTTTTTTGTAGCACAGCAGTGCGGCTACCACAACAGTACGACTGGCGATTTAGTCTGTTGTTATTGTCGGTCTCACAGGGAGTCGCTGCATGTCCTCTTTGTGTTGGTACGCACACTTCATATTTCACTGTTGTGTTTCAGCGGCTTCATCAGAGAAGATTTTACAGGCAAAAATGTGTTTGTAGATGCATCTTTCTTGTGTTTTTACTTCTGTGAAAAATGTCTGTAAAGGGTACTGAAGTCACAGAATTAAGGGTCAAAGTGATTTAATTTTTGGAAGTATTAAAGTTATGAAATCACCATTCTCATCATTTTTTTTTTTTTTTTTTTTTTTACATTTTTATTTAATATAACAGTTGAGAGATTTGTTTAGCTTTTGTAAACTACCTTTCAAATTCACAGCTAGTTTCCCTCGCTTACTGTAGTTACACTAACACATATCATTTTGAAGGTTTTCTGAAGTTGTTTTAGAAAGAAGAACTGTAAAAATACATAAATGCTCCTCTCTCATTGGTGGACTATCTAAAAGGTAAAAGATCTAAAGGAGGTGTTGAGGCATTTTTTCTCCTCTGGTGCAATGTCATATTTCTTTCAGTGAAAGGCCACCCTTAAAGATACTTTATCACATTTTCTTCACTCCAAGGGAACTAAAGGGACCACTTTATCACATCTTTCATACTTGAAGGGCACCCTGGAGAAGTGGTTCTCAACTGGTCCAGCCTCAGGACTAATCACCAACTCCTTAATGAGAAATCATGACCCAAACGTAACATATTTTCCAACCAATCAGATTGATTTAATCACAAACAGTGCTGTTTGGACCTCAGATGGTACAAAACACGTGACAGAATAAAGTTTAAAAAGTGCTTCATAAACTTTTTGACACATTTCTTTTCCATGTACACATTCCTGACCCATTAAAAACATCTCAGCAACC